TTAAAATCATTGAATATCTCCTCGTTGAGTTTGTTTGATCTCGCTGGTAACTCATCACCACGACTTCCAACTTGTATGATATCCGTGGTAAAATAAAAACAGAATGAAAGGGTGATTAAATTGCCTAATGATTCGGAAAACAAAACTCCCCCATCCCACTTGGAGTTACAATAGTCATGTATTGTGGTGCATAATGACCGCACCGCTTTTGTCAAGTTTGGAGTCATAGGCACAGATATTGGTTTCTTATTGAGGTCGAGGATATCAGCACACTTTTTCGCAATTGTAACCAAGGTTCTCACTTCGTCGTCACCTAAACCATCCATACTTGAACCTAAGGCAATTTTGAGCATTTCCACTATATGTTGATATCTGTCCGGAGTTCCTTGTTTTTGACTTTGTTTGTACTCTGTAAGCAAACTGCTCAAAGTTTTAGTTTCCACTTCAACGCCACGCTGGCAAACCGAAACTAGAACGCTAAGATTCAATTCTTGACACAATTGCGTTATTGATTCCATAGGAGACATGGTTATGTTGATATACGTAACAGGCACTACTGAAAATTATCAAACCCAAATTTCGCACCAAAAAAAATAAAACATGAAAAACAAAAGCTTTGTGTGGCCTATTTCATTTGGTACCCATTGATATAAAAGGTGCAATTAAACTCATTTCCCTTGCAATAAATTGCTCAAAAGCAAACAGACCCCACCTTCATGTCTAATATTCAAACATGTCCATTCTTACACTTCTTTCCAGTATATAGCCCCCCAGTTTATAAATGGTATACAACTCAGCTTCAGTATAATACTTTTCTAATTTAACTTCCACAGTCTTGTTCGTGAATCCACTGATAGTAACCTTCTGCCTGAAATTCGTGAGGTCCCTGCAGTGCAACCCATAAAAGTGGTACCCAATGATTCCAAGTGGGAGATCGGGACTGAGAACTCGGAATTTGTGAGTTAGCAACTGGAAGGGTATTCTTGGTTCGTACCACCAGTTGACACTACTATTGGGAAACTTTGCAAGCAAGTCACACACTGCCATTACATCACTTGTCAAACAACTGAGACTTGATAAGATAAGATATCTGACCTTGCTATGCTTAAACCCTCTCCAATCTTGAAGAGCGAAAGCTGCTTCTCTCTCTCCGTTTCCCGAGAGCCGTAAGCAAAAGAGCAACAATTTTGGAAACTCTTCCTCCAAATCATTACTCTTAAACAAAGTGTTGGGATTAAAATCTCCAAATAGAGTCAATTCTTTAAGAAAAACGGTCTCAAAGGAATCACTCAATAGAAAATGGGGAAAAAAATGAGACTCTGAGGGGTAATTGATTTCCAATACTTGAAGCTTGAAACAACATCTATACCTTGCGAGATCACCACCCCTACAGAAAAGCATTGCTAGCTTAGTCACGTTTGGGAGCCAATGAAGACGATCGAGATTATCTGCCCAGCTCATGCCATCTGTTCGGATCAGATTGATATTTTCATGAAATATGGGGAATTTGGCCAAGTTCGTTTCTGGGGCAATGTAAACTGTACTGTGAGGGCAAAACCCAATATAAATTTGAAGCAACCAAACATAATTTGGTTTCCAATCATGAAGCGGAGAACAACCATAGTGTACAACTAGTTGAAAAAACCTAATTTTGGAAAAGTGTCTGAGAATGCACTCAATAATTGTCATATTGTGTCCGTATAATTCCAAATGATAAATCTCCTGTGTCTTGTCCATTTTCGCCAAATATCTCTCAAGCGTATCTGATGAGATGATTGAATACTTTTTGCTCTTGAAGTTGTTGAGGTTCTTGGAGATGTGGAAAGTTTCTCCCTGTTCATTTGATTCGACACCATATTCAATTATAGGCCAGGGTGTGTACACATATATGTTTCTGTATAATTTAGGTTTAGCAATGTAGTAAAGCTTGGAATGCAACGGAGCAAGTGCTAATGTATAGTGTTGGTCGAGTTGATGGAAAACCTCTTCCAATAATTCACAAGGTAGGCTTGACAAGGAAATCATCGCGCTGCTTAAGCTCTTTGTTCAAAAGGACAACATTCACGGAAACCGACCTATTATTTATGATTTTCCCATCTCTCCTATAGTTTCCTCATTTACGAACTGGCTTTTTCGGCGCTAAATTGTTGATTGCAAAAGTGCATCTCATCATCGATGGTAGTGAGAATTGTGTAGCCGTTCTTGCATGTGATTAACCTAGTATACTATGCATCTAATGTGAAGTCATTAATCTGAATCAGCTTGCAAAATGTTTCTCGTGTATGGTGAAACTAGGGCAACATCGTTAAAATTTACATTTTTTATTTTCTGGTTTCTCTTGCATAGCTCGTCACTTCANGGGGTCAAGACTGATTGGGGTTGATAATGAATAGGTCTTTTGATTGGAATGGATTGATTGATGTTAGTTTGTTTGAAGATGCTGGTTGAAGTTTTTTTTTACTTCAGTGTCATTATATATTGTGTTGCAAAATCATAACAACATCATAAACTGACATTTATTTTTCATACTACAGCAACATAATTTTTCATACCACGTTATTACCCAAAACAATCTCCACACTTCTGACCAAATTGAGCATGATGCTGCGGAATTGGGGCATTTAGATTACAAGTATGACATAATATCAAACCATTTTTTTTTTGTTTGAGCTTAGTCGCTTTCTACTGTCCTCTCTTGAACGCTTTTGCAGTTATTTTCCCAAGCCAAAAGCTGTCCCCTTCCTATTCACAAGAGCCCATAGTTTAGAAAGACCTCTTTTCTAAACATTATGGTACGAATCTACTAGCATGTTGACAGAAACTTTGATAGCTTTCTAAGGTTATCTTTGCTGTCGCTTCTTTCTCTTTTGGTGTCAACTGTTCTTTTCTAGATAAATTTGACCGCTTAACTTTGGCCTTACACACGGACCAGAACTCTTCAATTGCGTTTAGTCCTGGCGAATAAGCTGGCAAAAATACTACTTCCATTCCACTCAGCGCCACCAATAACTCGAGATCACGACTCTTATGGATGGCTGCGTTATCGAGTACCAAATACTTCATTTCCTTAAGTTCCTGGTGTGTTTCAATTTCTCTAAGCACAGACTTTAGAAATGAGTAGAAATGATTAGCTCGGCTTGGAGTCGCACCTTCAAGTCAATACACCCTTTTGGAGAGATGGCACCCAAGAATGACAGATTGAGACCTCTGGTGACTGGAACTTTAAGGACAGCCTTTTCACCTACCTTTGACAATCCGTATTCCCATCCCATGCTGATGTTGAAACCAGCCTCGTCGATGAAAACACAATTCTTTTCAAGGTCAATTTTAACCTTATTCTCAAGTGCCCACTCGAGTCTCTGTTGTTTTAATTCTGGCAGATCCCGTCTCATGGCCCATTTGGAAAGTCTCTTGAGACTAAACTTGCATACCTTGGTGAGAAAGTTATAAATAGTAGAAATACTTGCCTTCACACCTTCAAATGTACTCCTTAGTCTATCCAACAAGAAGTCTACAGTAACAGTAGGGTCCGAAAGAACCAAGTCCATCTACATATCTGTTTGTGTGTAACTCCAGCTTGAAATTCATTATCCGTTTATATTATGATTTTTCTTTCCTACGCAAAACAAAATCACATAAAACAAAATTTATGTCGCACTAGTATGAAACAAAAATAAAAAAACTGTAAACTAAAAAAAAAAAGAATAAAAGATCGGCTCGAATTTCTACTTTGTCTTTTCCGCTGATAATCGTCCAAATTTTTTTTTATATCTCCGCACAAGAAGTTTATAGAGGAAAAGCATAAAACCATAATCATCAATATCTAGAACGTCGCTAGGGGGGGAAGTAAAGTCCAGAGTTCATTCAAGAGGGCAGAGAAACTACTCCACACAGATATATCAAGATCGACTTTATTCTTGTCTTTTTTTTTTTTCTTTTTTTTTTGTAATACACTCAGTCCCCACCGCCACCGCTCTCACTATCACCACGGGGCTACTTCAATTATTGTGAAACATGTCTGTTTATCTTCCAACAGTGATCCTAGATCCATTCGACAAACTTCGTCCCTTCCCATCCGAACCAAAAACGATATTCCAAGCCCATTGGCACGAGTTAGTACTCTCCGCCTTGTTTTACTACTTCGTGCAGTCCTTGTCTAGTCCTGTATCCTCGCGTCTTTTTGGCACAAGATACACGGGTCTACCCAGAAAGACCCGAATTGATTTTGATGTTCATGTAACGTCCATGGTGCAGTGCGCTGTTTCTGCTGTGCTCATGTTTTACCATTTCAACAACCCGCATTGGCAAAACAGATTAAATGACCCTGTCAACTCATTACTTGGTTTCACTCCATTTGGAGGGATGGTGATTTCCGTCACTGCCGGCTATTTTGTTTGGGATTTGTTGGTTTGTTTGACACATTTCGACTTGTTTGGAATTGGGTTTTCATTTCATGCAATTGCGGCAATGTATGCATTCTGTTGTGGGTTTGTGCCTTATTGCCAGCCGTGGGCGGCAGCATTCCTTTCGTTTGAATTGAGCACTCCGTTTGTGAACATGAACTGGTTTGCCTCACGCATGCCTGCGGGCACCTTCAGTGACAAGTTTGTGATGATCAATGGATTATTATTGATTGTTGTGTTCTTTTTCGTCAGAATTGTATGGGGGATTTACGCCGTGGTACAATTGACACATGACATGAGGGCATCTTTGGACCAAGTTAGCATATTCACGCCTGCTGCGATTTTGGCCATGAACTTTGCATTGAACTCGTTGAACGTCTTCTGGTTCTACAAAATGGTGAGAATAGCTATAAAGAAGATCAGAGGTCAAAGTTCAACAAGAAAAGCTGTCAAGGTTGCTGAAAAAATTGAATAGCGAGAATGCTGAAAGAAGTAAAGTTGTGTGTTGTATTATACAAATATAGATAATACATAAGATTGTAAAGGTTACATGTAGAGTTGTGAGATTTGAGAAACTGTGAATAACGGAGCAGGCGTCTCTTTATCTCCTAAAGCAAAAGACGAGAAAAACAAAAGAAAAATGAGTGCGTGAGTGAGAGAGAGAAATTTTTTAATCAACAAAACAAAACTGCAGTGTACATTATACACAGATAGGAACAGCAACGCCACTTGTGATTACATTTTCTACTGTGGGATAAACATCAAGTTTTTAATACATCACTTAGCAAGTCAAGAGTGCTGTCACCACAAACCAGAACCTTCTTAAATACTATTGTATCCTTTCTTTGATTCAAAGCTACAAGGAGCAACCATAGGCATTCTCATCATTAATCAGTTGGAAACTTACTAAATCTTCCCCCCCCCTCCCCCTATAAACACAACGCATATACATTCTCACAATGAACAACGAGTACGATTATTTGTTTAAATTATTGTTGATTGGAGATTCCGGGGTTGGTAAATCTTGTTTGTTATTGAGATTTGCTGATGACACGTACACCCCTGACTATATTTCCACCATTGGTGTTGATTTCAAAATTAGAACAATTGAGCTAGACGGTAAGACTATCAAGTTACAAATATGGGATACGGCAGGACAAGAACGTTTTAGAACAATTACCTCTTCCTATTATCGAGGTGCCCACGGTATAATCATTGTATACGATGTCACAGACCAAGAAAGTTTTAATAACGTGAAACAATGGTTACAAGAGATTGATCGTTATGCAACAGGTGGTGTAATGAAGTTGTTGGTGGGAAACAAGGCTGATTTGTCAGACAAGAAGATTGTGGAGTACACTGCTGCCAAGGAGTTTGCTGATGCTTTAGATATCCCGTTTTTGGAAACTTCTGCATTGAGCTCAACCAATGTCGAACAAGCCTTCTACACTATGGCTAGACAGATCAAGGCACAAATGGCCAGCAACTCCAATGTAGGTAACGCTGCTGGTAACAAGGGTAAATCCAATGTCAATTTGAGAGGTGAATCATTAACTTCAAACCAATCCAATTCATGTTGTTAGAGAACCTTTGTTAAGAAAGGGGACTAGGGGATTGGAAAGCTTTTGGGAATCCCCCTTCCCCCCCTTCACCTGGTTCTACAAGTGGTTTGAGATCTTTTATAATTTCTTTGTAATCTATTTGCTTCATATATCATAGTATTTGTACACAAGTGTTTCGATTATCGAATGACATAGATATAATATTGAACATAAAGGTCACCGTTATCGTCTCTACCGAATCTTCCCTTACCGATCAAATTTTCTTTCAAAACCCATTTGTATTCCTCCTCGACCGAGTCGTCAAAGGTAAATGTTGGGTTACAAGTGACGTAACTTTCTTCAATAGATGCCTCCTTGTTTTTGTTCGAAAGCACACCAACAGAAGTGTCATCTAATTGAACCCTACCTCCATAGTAGACAAACACGCCTGAACCATTTGGTGTTTTGCCATACAATTTGCAATCCAAATAAGATGTATTGACTGAAGTTTTCACATTCAAGTCATCGGTGCCGTAAATTTCTCCAATCTCCAATTTCAATCCGAGGTCATTTTCAACAGTCTTGATTTCACCAGTAGAAATTGTTGCCAACGACAAGGACTTGTCGATTTGTGAGTTGGTGAAAATTGGTACTGGATCGGAAACCAATTTGAGGTTAAACGTCAAAACGGGGATTAACTGGGGTTGTTTTGGAATACCGGGGAGAGCCAATTTCAAGTCGGACATGTTTAAGGGGAGGCGTGGGGCGGGGGGGAAGATGTGGTGAAGAAGATTCAAGTTGGAAAGAGAGTGGAGCAAAGATTCGAAATTTCGGAAAAGTGTGGATTCGGTTACCAGAGTAGCGCAAGTAGATTTGCTTTCGAGATATAAATACGCTACATACTGCTGGAACTTTACTCTTTTGACATTTCCTTCGGGGAACCTCTTCTCTTTATACTTCTTTCACACTTAGCACTCGCCTTGCTCATCCTTCTTCCTCGATGCAGAAATGTGTCTGTATCGTCTGTTAATATATGTGTGTGTGTGTGTGTGTGTGTGTGGTAACCGAAAAATTGTCAAAGAAAAAAGAAAATTCTTCGAAAATGGTGTCTTTGCCACCAACGATCAGCACCACACGGAACACCAACTTAGCCACATCCACCATCAACCATCATGTCTGAATCTAAAGATGTTGAAATGAAGGGAGAAGAATATGACTTGGCTGCCGAAACTAAGTCCATTGTTGAAGAAATTGAGCAATCCTTCAATCTATTGGAAAAAGCCGCCACCTTATTTGACAACAGATACGTCTCAAAGGTACTACGTGATTTTGCTCCCCTTAGAAAGAAGCTATTAACTCACGACCAAGTCTTGCCTACTATAATCAACAACTCTTTTCCCGATTCCAATTCTGCAAAACAAGATTTGCTCAAGCTTTTTAAAGCAGGTCCAATTACTGGCTCAGAGGGGGGAAACGCACAATCACCGATTCCTGAAGTCGAATTGTTTATCTACTTGTTAGTCCAAGTTTATTTGTTGGACTCCAATGAATTACAGAAATTGAATGAATTGAGCGTCCATTTAGTGAGGGTGATGAACTCTTACAACAGGCGTTCTTTGGACTTCCTACAAGCAAAAATCTGGTTCTACATAAGCAGAGGGAAGGAGTTGGTTGGAGACTTGTTGTCAGTCCGTACAGATTTGTTGTACAGTTTAAGAACCGCCAGTTTGAGACATGACACAGAGACCACGGCTTCCATAATTACTTTGTTGTTGAGAAATTACTTGTTGTCTCATGATATACAACAGGCTGCTAATCTTGTGGAAAAAGTGGTTTTCCCAGAAAATGCAGCAAATGCATTGGTTGCGAGATACTATTATTACTTGGCCAGAATCAATGCCGTTCAATTGGATTACACTACTGCTCATGAGTGCGTGATTGCTGCCGTAAGGAAGTCGCCTCAGACTAAACTGGCTAACGGATTCTTGCAAGCCGCAACAAAATTGAACATAATAATCGAGTTGCTCATGGGTGAGATTCCCGAGTTGAAGACTTTTAAAAACAAAACGGGTAGTTATGAGCCATACTTCAGTGTTACCAAAGCTGTCAGATTGGGTGATTTGAAGTTGTTTGGACAAGTATTGAAAAAGTATGAAGACGCATTCAAGAAAGATGATAATTTCACTTTGGTTTCAAGGTTGCGTCAAAACGTTATCAAGACTGGTATTAGAATCATGTCCTTGTCGTATTCCAAGATTTCTTTGAAAGATATTTGCATCAAGCTACACTTGGATTCAGAGGAATCGACTGAATATATTGTATCGAAAGCAATCAGGGATGGTGTGATTGAGGCAACAATCAACCATCAACAAGGGTATATGCAATCCAGCGAGATCTTGGATGTGTATTCTACAAAATTGCCACAAACAGAGTTTGACCATAGAATCAAGTTCTGTTTATCCTTGCACAATGATAGTGTCAAATCCATGAGGTTCCCCAATGAAGACGACAAACAAGCAGTCAATAAGGAGGTTGAACCTAGCGATGAAGTGGAGTTGTTGAAAGCTATAGAAGAAGGCGATTTGGATGATTTCATGGATTGAGTTTAAGTAGAGATAATCAGTAGGTAAAAATGAATTTGAATTCATCCTGTTCCATCATTTTAGTAGGCAGTAATGTCTCTCTCTCTCTCTCTCTCTCTCTCTCTCTCTCTCTCTCTCTCTCTGTCTCTCTGTAATTATGATGTTCGCACTTTGAAAGCCCTGAAAAATCGCGTGAATAAAACTTCCCCAGTGACTACATCTCGTACAACAATGAGCAATGAATCCCTTTATCTAGATTTCGACCTTAATGGAAATGGACACGTTGATCCGTTTGTGAAGGACGAGTATGTGCTTTAGATGGCGACACTCTTGTGATCACACTTACTAACTCATGTTCTCCAGAGATGACTTTACATTACAAGAGCTTCTTCCACGGATCCTACACGAACGCAAGCAATTTGTAGATATCACCGAGAAGGGGCTCATTGAGGAAATAGTTCTGCTCAATTCATCCAAGACTGTTAGCGAAACTCATAACCAAATTGCACAAGGTAATGCAATCACTCCGGAAATTCCCAATGCAACGGAAGAAGAAGTCATGCAAGAGAAGTTCAACATTCAAAAGCTAGATCTAACCAAGAATATAAACAATGCACTAAATGAAACCTCGCTATCGCTTGATTTTGTCTCGTTGCTTGTTGCATCAGTCAAGCCCAATATTGCCAAAAACACGATGTCACCGCATTTGCAAAAATTAGTCAAGCCATACTCCTTAAACTCTGACAAGCTAGCTAATGAAGAAAAAGAGACTTTGCAAAAAGATGTTGCCAAGTCTACAAAGATAGGTCTCGGTTGGAAAACTGAAGCAACGAGCAAAATCACAGAGTTGTTCAGGCAGTCAAGTGAAAATTTAACGACACAGGTGAAGAAGGAACACAAGTACTGGAACATGATCAGCTTGGTGTGGTCGAATGGCGAGGCGCTATTTCGTATGAGGGATCCGTCAAACAATGCCAGAGCCATTGGGGTCAAGTACGGGTATGGAGATTCCGGCTCAGATTTCCAAGATAAAGGGTTGGCATTGTTTCGCAAGAATGTCCAAACTGGTGAAGTTTCTTTCCATCCACTTTCTACTGTTGGTAACAAACTCGTTGCCAAAACCTATCGCTATATTCGGGTGCGAGTCTTGAGCAAAATTGAAGACTCCGATTACATGGTCACGGGACAATCAATCTTTGACCACAAGTATAAGAAATCACCTCATGATATCATCAATGATATAGAAATGGCGAGGTTTTTTCTCTTTGAGGAAGACTTGTTTTATCAGCTTAGTAGGGAAGCGGCGATCTTGCTCAGCTATAGTGTGTCTGTAACGACAAACAAAGTTTCGATTGAAACTGGAAACGAAATTATCGAAATTGAAAGTGTGCCTTATGATAATGACGAAGAAGGATTGGAAAATAGTTACCAGAATGTTAGCTCTATTTCATCCATCAACAATGAAAAATGTCAATTGATTTTGATATATATGAAATTGATGCTTTGTTGCTTTTACAAGTACAACTTGAAGTTAAAACAAAAAGTGCCAACTGCTTTAACAAAATGGAAACAAAACAATTCCCATCCGTTGGTCTTGCGTCCTCTCTTGGGTAATATTTACCACAACAAGTACTTGAGTGAAGTGAATGAGGTCATAATCAACTTGGCTCAAAAGTATACCTTGAATAACGAAATCAAGCTTGACAAGTATGCTGATTCAAATGGTAAACTGTCCAATCCTTTCAAGAGATCAATCGAGATTCCAAATTCAACATTCACTTGGACGGTACAGAATGAAAGCGGCAATGTGCTAAATATATCGATAAACGTAACAAGCAACGAGGTGTTTGTCGATTTGGTCACGAAACTAGCTGTAACGAAATTCGATTCCATTGAAAATTACAAGAGCAATATGGATGGTGTGAATGTTTTACAAAACGACTACTACGACGTCGGTGACTTGAATGAATCGCTTGAGTGGTTGATCCGCGACTTTTAACTCCTCCGTAAATTAGAGACTATGTACACACTAGATTCCTATTCTTCAATAACATACACCTTGTCATCCTGAGCTTGCTTTATAGCATTTGCATTCTCTTCAACAAACTTCTTCATCCGGTAAAACTTTTCGTCACGTAAGTTGTTGTAGATAAGAAAGTTTACCCAAACTTCAAACATGGCATACGTAGCGACTAAACTGTTGCTGATTTTGCTGGTGGGTACAAAGTACATATAAGCAGTGAGCATAAAGGAAAAGAACAATCTCACCGGTACCAAAGTCTCAAAATAGTGCCAATTCTCAGCAATCAATGGGATCAAATCACTTAGAGCTTGGGTCGAAACGAGTACGGACAACATACCCAAGACAGGACTATTTGAATTCAAGTGCAAGGCTGGTACTTGCATTGCTTGGCCCAAAAGGATGACGAATCCTGCTGAACAAAGACCCTCTGGATCTTGAACTAGGTAGTAAGCTAGGACGAAAAGGGCAACAACCCTGATGTATAATAGCGACTTTGCATTGAGGAATTGCATTGGTGTGTGGGGCTTCGGCTTTAACTGGGTGAGGAAGAGATTTCTACAGTATCGTATTGTACTTTTTTTTTTTTTTTCTTTTTTTCATCCTAACCACTCCTGTTATCCATAGAATTGCAAGTGGTGAAAGAAGTAGACGTCCACATCTTACTCTTCTTAGTCAGCTAGTAAATAGGGATGAACATTTCCCTAGGAATTGTAGCCCCTCCTTACTTCCATGGTCGTCTTTATCTTGAAACTGATTTGAAATCCTCTCCTCTCCACTTTCACCACTGAGCATATTTTTTCAATAAATTGTGTTGCAAAACTTTCCACTCCTTGAAGCACACTTTCTTCAATTTACACCACAGCTGGATAAGAGGAAAAAGAATTGCCTACAAAACTTGTTTCCAAGTTCTTAACAGTGCCAATACACTTCCACTGGTATCTGTCAAGTTTACCACATCAATAATCCTCCTCTTCCCCCCCCCCCCACTTTTGCCTACCTTACTAACCCGGTCTCAGCTTTGATTTCTTCGTCACAGTTGTGTACTCCTGAGGAGACGCTTGCAGTCTCTGCAATCACATTGACTATCATATCACTTTCATTCTCGATATTGTTTATTTTGGTGTGTATGTGAACACATTTACTCACGATGCAGTGTGTGTGGTTCCTTCTTTTTATTAACCTTCTCGTCATAGGCCTAGTATTTGTGCCATTGTTCTTCTTTATAGAGATAGTGGAAGGGGTAGTGGCAATCTTTTCATATCTACTACCAGAGGACGCCATTAGAGGGAATAGCTGGGAGGGATTGATATTTGTATAACAGAAGAGAAGAAGTGGGTGTGAAGTAGTGTACGTGTCTGTTCCAGTTCACACAAACCACCACCAACGAAAACAAACTCTTTTTTTATTTTTTTATTTCAGAACAAGGTACAACACGTCGATCTTAAACTACTCCCATTCTGATCAAATTTAAGAATGAAGTTCACATCAACTGTCTCTATATTGACATTAGCCATAAGCACGTTGAGCTACGGTGCGATAACTGGAACGATTTCCAGCAGTGGGAAAACTGTGCACTATGGAGAAATTGAAACTCAGGAAATCAAGGTTTTACCACTCGAGTCAATCAAGGACACCATTGATATCAAACTCAAGAATGACAAGTTAGATGGTCAGCCAGAGCAAATCATGCTCAGTTTGAGCGACTCTCACAAATCCAATGTTGCTACACATTATATTCCTGTGGTCAATGGAAACAATATTAAGTACAGCATCAAGGCAAATTCTATTCCAGCCACTCTATTATCCAGAAGTCAATTGACCTTGGGTCTTGTTATTGCAGATTCCAAGACAAAATCCAATTTAGTGAAAAGGTTGGTGGATCTCAAACCTTCTGCAGAATTGAAAAAGCCCGTCAAGCAAGAAAGAAAGTTTCAATTCGGTCTTCAGCCAGAGATTCATCACATTTTCAAAGAGGATGCTAAAACTGTCAACCCAGTTGTGCCCGTTGCTTTTATTGCAGTTGCTGCGGCTACGTTCTTGATACTCCTTGGATCATGGGCTGGATTTATTGGATTAGATAACCTATTCAGCACCCTCAAATCAACGTCTGGTGGCCAATTATTACAAAATGTCAGCTTCTTGCTCACCTTGATTGGGTTTGAATTCAACTTTGTCAAATACTACTTGGGCCAGTCCATATTTACTACGTTATTCTACGGCTCTATTTTGGCCCTTGCTGCTGTCTATTTTGGATCCAGTGTATTGAGATACTTGGCTCAAAATCGTGCATTGGGAAAACAATAAACCCCACTTTTATAGATTTGTGTATATTTCGACACACTAGATATATATCATCAACTTAACCTTCATCAACAAACGTATTCTTTATCCATCTGAAATTGAAAAAACCCCTTATCCCATCATTCATCGAATTCGCAGCAACAATTTTCCCTGTTATGAGTCCCTTTGGAAGCACCCCATACGATCTTGAGTCTAAGGAGTGGCATAGATTATCTCCCGTGCACCACACATGTCCCTCCGGCACCCTAATAAACTTGTTGAATCCGTCGTGTTGAATAATTTCTGCGGGAGTATTTGTCAAGAATGATGACGATGACGGATCCACCAAGACAACATCCCCTGGCATGCCAGTAATACGTTTACATATTCGATGCGATGGATCGCTTGGCTTCATGGCGACGACACAGTCACCCATTTCCAAATTTCGGCCGAGTTTATACTTTTTGAAAGCGTGCACGTAATCGTGTTGGTTTTGAACTGTGGGGAGCATAGATTCACCTCTTGTTTCTGTGAATTCGTAAAGATTTTCGTGAATTATGTGAGCCAAGCAGCCAGCTCGAAGAGTCCATGACAATGTGGAGACAGCAAATTGTAGTGAGTCAGGTATGGCCATTCGTATATATATATGTGTATGTATGTGTGTGTGTGTGTGTGCTCCTGCTTTTATATTTAGAGTCTGATGTTTTACAAATTTTTCGTTTCTCGCAAAATACATTAAAACCAATTTAATATACAAATCCTAAAATTTTACCAGAGACATGCTTCCTTCTGGCTTCTTCGTGATCCATGATACCAGCAGAGGTAGTCAAAATAACGTAACCAAACTGTCTAGCGGGTAACAAGTTATCAGTCCATCTCTCAATGTCACCGATTTTAACGTTGAATCTTGGCGAAATAACACCACACTTATTCAATCTACCATTCAATTGCACAACAATCTTTCCTGATCTGTGGTCGTCAATGTATTCAAATTCACCAATGTAACCTATTGAGCTTTTTGTTAGTACTATGTTTCTCATCACTATCATGCAAAACATCAATTTGAGTAAATTGTTGAGGAAAAGTAAACGAATAAAAACTATCGAGTGAAAGTTATCACCGTGTAAGAAAGCATTTCCTGACGTTGTTATCCCGAAAGCTTAAAAGACAGAAAGGGACTGAACACCGATCATTCCATCCAGTTATCAATTCGGTGTAATAAATGAAGGTTAAAAAGAAATAAGCAAATGTGATGCTCAGCTGCAAAAAAAAAAAAAATTAAAAAATAAAAGGAACCTGTACATACCGTGCTTTTGCATGACTGTCAAGAATCTGATGATAACCTTGGACGATGGTCTAATCAAAACTTGGCGTTTACCGGTCTTTTCGGCGTTGTTGATAGCGTTTAAAGCGTCTGCCAATACTGAGGTTCTGGTCATTCTAATCAGCTAAGTTAGTACTTGGGTGGGGGAGTTTTCAAAATATAAAAGCCACATGAGTGTCCAAAACTCGAGGTTTGGAGTCATGAGCCATGTTTGAAATGCAAGAGTATTATCGGTCTCTTTGAAGGTCACCTCGCATGTTGAAACAAGGTGTTATATCAACACCAGACGATGATACTGGTGTGTTATCCAATCAAAAGTTCCATGTAGCCTACTTTTGCAATGAAAAAAAAAAGTAGCACATGCCAAACCCTATATCAAACAACCAAAGACCAAATAATTTCTTGCACATCCATGAAAACTCAATTTTTTTTTTGACGCATTAAAATATGCTCAAACTCTAAATGGCAACTAGTGTGAGGTATTGAAACATACTTGTCGTGGTGATAGCTGCTGTGTCTATGGGTATATGTGTTGTCCTTTGATGAAAGTGAAGAAGGTGAAAGAAGAGGAAGAAAAATTTTCACTGCAAAAAAAAGTGATTTTTCAATTTGCAAAGTGTTTTGTGTGGCGGATGTAGCTATATGCACACCTCCAATATTCTATCATCTTCCTACACTATATACAGAAAACAGCTCATTATAGCAATTGCATAGTTGGCCATAGTGAACAAATAAAAAGAATAGTCTCACCAAGCACCCAACATGTCACTTGATGGTCACCCTACCATTTTGGACGAGAGAGCTTTGTCACAACAGATTTTTCAAAGAGTAAAGCCTTACTGTATTCAACTAACTCAAGAAGCACTAGCGTCAAATTTCAATGAAGCAAAAGTGGTATCACTGTTGACATCAATAGAAGAAGGGTTGAAGCCAGTGCACGTGGAGAACCAATTGCATGGTCGGCTTTTCCTACTACCGAATGTTGCCGACTACATATTCTTCCCCATCTCAAATTTGCTCAAAAAGTCCGAATTGAGTGATTCAATTGTTCAGCATATCTTGTCAATCATTGGTTACTTGGTAGAGCGTTGTTGGAAACTTAATGGCAACTATGTTTTATTTGATCAGCTATTCCCGTTGGTTCTCTACCTCATCGAAGGAGACTTGAAAAACAAGACACTGAGTATTGATGATAAAGCACTACAATTCAAAATATCATCAGTTTATGCTCTTAATGAAATGGTCCATTCTCTTGAAATGTCGTATTTTGAAGAAAATGGAAACAGACTTCATTTTTTGAGTAGAAGCATCCAGTTGGCCCTTGCAGTATTGAACTCCACAAAAGCTAGTGATCAAGAGACGACTAGTCTCCTTGTTAATTGTTGCCGCTTGATACAGAGCTTGCTTCTGAAGCTTGACTCGGAAAAAAAGTCAACCATTCTTCCCGGCATTGTTTCAGGGATTGCAAATTTTGTTACTTTGAACTCGAGCATGAACTATAAACTATTCATACAAATAATTCGACTATTGTCCAGCATTATCTGCAGCTCGTTTAACGATAAAGACCTTCATGCAGAACTCAACCTCGACACTGTCACAAGCATCCACGATATCCAAAACGTATGGGATGACGATGAGACAACACTTGACGGTGTTGAGAAGAGCGATATTTCTATCGAAGAGCAGGGCCACAGGACTATGCTGTGGCTCAGGGCAACATCAAAACAATTAAAGATTACTTTGGTTATTCTTTTCAGATCCCTTCTTCTAAGCCCAAGGAACAAGAACCGTTTGCGAACAAGGTCGGAGCTTGCCGACGAGGTTCAAAATTTTGTGACTTCTGTTATGAATACCTGCTTTGTCTCCTTGTATAATGAGTTTGTTCCACTCGCCTTAGATCTATGTGCTATATTGGTATTTGCTTCTTCTTGGGAAAATGATGAGTCACACACGAGAATTAGGGATATATCCTCTAGTATCATGGAGACTATCGGTACTGACAGTAATAAATGCATTGCATACTACGACGTGGTCAAAGAAAAGCTCTCAAGCTTGATTGACAACAAACTAGCCCTTATTGTTTTTTCAACGGACGAGGACAAAGTAAACTTGAACTTGATTGCGATCAAGCTTCATTTTGAAATGCTCAGTAAAATATCATGGAGGCAGCCAGATGGTTCGGAGGATTTGAAACTATTAAGGAGGAGATGCTTGCGAGTATTGCTTGAAATGGTTGTGGATCACTTCAGAATGGAAAAGTCTCAAAAGACAAGTCGGGGGACTCCCTCGCTATCAACCGGAGATAGCAGTTCACTGAACCGACTAGACGATATTGAACTACCAGGTCACATCAATGCCAAAAGTGTCAAAACGGTAAAGCCGTCTTCGTCTAGCAGTGCGATTCCCTATAAGCGCCAGCTACAGCTCATATCGTCACAATGGACTCGTTCTCTGTTTTCTTCCGCAGAAGACATGAGCATCGGCTTGGGCTCGAACGCGTTGGATAGTAGTTTGCAATCAATCATTTCCTTCTTGTCTAAACTAAAGTTTAGAGGGGGAGGAGATCTTGTATTGCTGGATTTGGAAGAAATTTTGGAGAGTTCGGATAGCTCCAGCGTATTGGAAAAGGGTGTTTCATTGTGGTTTGCATCTAATTTTGCAAAGAATAGTTTACAAAAGCTACACGAGTTTGATACTTCTGAGTTTCTCAATGTCGATGATATGGTTACTGATGATGTTCTGAATCTAAATGAAGCGTCATATCTTTTAATGATCAAGGCTGAAAGTATTTTGGATGATTTCTCAAATAGTAGTGGATCTTTTGTGAACAAAGAAGAAGAGTTGGCCTATGTTTCAGCCATGGAAGCAATTAACTGCGTCGTTGGTACCATTCCATTAACATCTTTTCAAACAGATGTGTTAATGGACCACTTGTTGTATTTGTTTCAAGCCTTGACAATGACCGATAAGCCACAGATTCAATATCATGCTCAACAAACAGTGAAAGCTATTGTGGATTGCTACTATGGAGGTTCAATGCTGAAGATGATCATGGACAATCTGGACTATCTCATTGACTCCATTAGTTTGCAGATGACGGTAGCTAGCAACTTGACACCGCTGTTACCTGGAATATTGATCATTTTAATCAAAGTGGCTGGTATTCAGTTACTAGAAAGTAATCAATTATTTGATATTCTTTCCGATATATTTGTCATTCTAGACTCGTACCATGGCTATAATCACTTAGTTGAAGGCTTTTTTGTGGTTTTTGAGGTGCTTGTGGAACAAATTAGGCTGATGTTTTTGAGCACTTCTACAGCAATAGAAAGCCACAAACAGTGCAAGTCTCAATTTACACCATGGGGTATGACACTGAAAACCCAATTGATGCATTTTCTACAAGACAAAAGTCACGTGGACCCCTTAGCGGAATTTGATGGGGAGAAGGTATACTTTCAAAGGACAGAAGATAAGCCATTTGATGAAATGGATAAGGATTCTGATGATGATGATGATGATGATGATGATGATGATAGTGGCGAGGATGGTGGCTCTGCAAATGAGGAGCAGTGGAGCTCGCCGATACCAAAATCAATCTACGAGGTTTTGAAACGCATATTCAATTATGGCTTCACTCTAGTCTCGCAGCCATCATACACCTTGAAAGCGCAAATTATCAAGACTCTTCGGCTCATATTTCCATTACTTTGTACTGAGTACAAGTTGGTTTTGCCCTTGATGGCAAACAATTGGTCAGTGTTGATCACTTTGATTACTGCATCCAACTCCTTGTCGTCAAGCTCAGTGGATATGGGAACTACTCTTTCGCGAGAGCAAATAAATGTCACTATTGAGTCGCTCAAATTTGTGACGGATGTTTTGAATCGTGATAGGGACCAGGAAGAATACTTCTTCAGTAGAAAATTTCAAGAAACATGGAGCTTTATCCGAAATCATTCAGGGTTTATATCATCAAAGATTCTGAAAGTGGAGGAGCCCACTACTCAAATTATTGTTGCAGAGAAGGCGGTATCAACATTAAGATCATTTCCTGCTTTGAAAGATGCACTTGTGGAATTCTTTATTGCAGGGACTCAAAATTATGAAAAGACGATACCTGATTTGGACAGATTTTATTTGATAAAACTATGCTATAGACTTCAAATACCGAAAAATTTGAAGCTAACTAGAGACACTCGATGCGTATTGGAGGTCTTGAAATCAAAATGTGTATTAGCTATATAGTGTTATTCTTTCATTTCAACATCTTGTGACTCTGCTACGTCACTGTCGTTCTGTGAAGAAACCAAATCATTAATCCCTGCCTTCTTAACTGGTGCTTCCAGCCTTGGTGCAACGCCAAAATTGAGAATTTGCTGACCTTTTGGAAGTATTGGATCTGGCTTCGTAGCAACATTAGTGGGTGCTTTCGAACTCTTGTGGTTATCTTCTTTATCCTTCATGGGATGAATAGAATCCAACGTATTGACTTTTTTCTTCTGTATTAGGTCGCCTATAGCATGTGTCTTGGGTATCGTATCGCTCAAAAAGTTCAAAGCATCATGACTAGCAACGGCATTAGCAAAATCCTTGTACTGAATCTTCTTACGCTTGTCCACTTTTGCCATTAGACTAGCTTGCTCCACGAAATATTGCACAAATAGCTCAGTTGCTAGTCCTGTGGCGTAAACCGCACCTTGACTGGCTCCTAAGTAATCAGGGTCCATTTTGAAAATCTTTTTGATCTTGGACAATGGGAGTGACATCTGTTGGGACTCCAGGTCAGCACTCTCTTGAGGCGTGCTTGGCACTCTATTCTCTGGAGTGGCACTTTGGGGAGTTATTACGTCTACTTCGGCTGTATGGTCGTCCATATTGTGCTAGTATTTGATACTGATGTTGTTTCAATGCAAAGCAGGACAATTTCAACGCGTCTGAAAAAAAAAAAAAGAAAAACGAGCGGCATTACTCTTTGACATCCATCTTTCTACACGTGATTCTCTCTACATTTGGTTAAGCATCATATACGTCGTTGTATTTTAACTAACTATATACAAACGGAATGGAGTCCTTCCCGCCCCAACACTTGAAATTGATCTATTCTTCGTGATTACTGGTAGTTTTCAATTTGGGGTGTACTATCCTCTCTATATATCCCTCTTTTTCCAAATCAGTTTCACTATAGTTAGGTCCATTCTCGATAAAATTGACCGCATTGTGGAAAGCTAACTCTGGACTTTTGAAGCTATCGTCATACCCTTCCACTTTCTGGATAAACTGAGGGGAATTGGGCGACACTAGTGCCTTCAACTTTGTTGTATTTAGACCACTAGGAACCACATAAGTCCTGACCTTACTCCAGTCTACATGATACCTTCCACGACTATCCAAATGTCCTATTCCTGAAGATCGGGTACCTTTGTAGAAGTTCTTGTTTCCTTGTTTGGTTGTCAATGGATGTCTCTTGGATCCAGATTTTAGCATCCCATAGTATAAAGTACCATCCCTAAAAGTTTTCCAGGGCCTCCTCAATGTAGCGAGCGCTGTAGACTGAAAACCGAGCACCTGAGTTGCCTTCATTGTTTGACTATTCGAAGGGTGATCCTTTGTCAGCTTTACAAACCTCTCGCATCAAAAAAATTTTCGCATGTATCGAACTTCTCTTCTTTTTCTTTTGCCTTTTTGTTTTTTTTGTTGCAAGAAGGTGGCGCTACCATTGGCTCTATTGCTGGTGCGCAAAAAGAATAGACTCGTTCTGAATTTGTCTGAATGTGGTACCTGAAGATTGAGCTCTTGAATCTGCTTTAGGCTTCTGCTGAGGCATGAAACCAAGTCTGGGTAATTTTTTGTAGCTCCGTTGTTGTTGCTGCCACACATTGCTACAATTCCATGTATCAGCTATAGCAATTATTCTGTGCCCCTCTTTTCAAATTGCAACTCAACTGATAAGGAAAGCCTCAAGCACAATATCAAAAGCAGCAGCAATTATATGAAAACAAAAACAAAAACAAAAACAAAAAAAAACAAAAAAAAACAAAAAAAAACAAAAAATATGCCAAGATTTCACCCAACTTCCACCAACAGGCACAACCTCATAGCTAATCCACACTGCAATGTCTATCCCAGAACAACCAAAGAACAAAGGATTCTTTCCTGCGCAGCACGGATACACGGATACTAATGTAAAGACCCACACATACTCAGACAAACCAACCCCACTTCTGGCTCACCAAAACAAAACTAAAGGGTTTATAGCAGAGCATACAGATAAGGAACATACAAAGAAGTACGCCAAACAAGGAGGGAAAACCCTCTTCAATGCATTGATTGGAATCATTTGTCGTTAGGAGCGCTTAGTTTCAGAATAGAGAGAATTAGAGCTAGTGATAGCCACCCGTTGTTACATATGGATAATTAGTAATTTAATATTTAGAATTCTTGATGCACCAATTTGTCTCTATCTGAGTGGTATTCATCGTCATCAAATCTTAGCTTTCGATTGTGACAATTCCCTCTTCAAAACTTCGACTACTTTCTGCCCCATGCCTACACTTCCTTGATATCCACCAGCGCCAGCCCCATAGTCATGAATCAACCACTTGTATTTCGAGTCGACTTCGATTCTGGGCCCGTCTTCTCTAAATGGTCTGAAGCCTACATTAACCTTGTCAATTTCAATCTTGGTGGAATTATTTTTGAACTTTGGGTTTACCAATTCGGGAACATACTTGGTTGCTCGTCTGATTAACCTAGCCGTTAACTCTTTATCTTCAGTGGTTGATTCATCGCCAGGTCTGAAGCATCCGCCAATAATCGACCCTCCATCTCTTCTGGGCATTACATAAAGCATCTCGTCTGTGTACCCAGGAAATCCCAGGACTGACACGGTTCCCTTTGCGTTGTTCTTCACCAAAAGGGTTTGACCTTTCACAGGAAAGTTTATCTTTTTGTCTTGCACCCCTTGGATCTTGGTGGCTCCCAATCCAGTTGCGTTGATGACGTAGTCAGGATTACCTGTAATGCCCCTTGCCTCCCTAATATCTTTAATGAGAGGAATCTTCTTAAATTTGTTTCCCAATTCCTTATTTTGCTGGACCAAGTACGAAAGGTATATGGGTACAGTGATCACAACACCTTTGAAAGTGGTACCAAGTGAAATGTCTCCAAATGGAATCTTTTCCTCATCAATTACTTTGAAACCTTGAACGACATCTTTATACCATGGAATAAAGCTTTGAAAGTTTCCCTTGGCTGCTGCAACTTCATACTTTGTATGGTACGACGTATCATCGACTACCCACACGCCAGCCCTGGGGTCATTCTTTGCCAATCGCAAAAACCTTTCGTACCCTGGCCAGTCTATCTTCTGCAATTGCGAGTCCATGCCAGTTGCAAAAGACTGCCAGTTAGCTCCAGCCCATGGAGAGGTGTATGAAGGATCAAAATCACCTGGGAAATGGTGAGCTGCAATTGTGATTTCCAAGCTAGGGTTCCATTTCTTGAGCTCAATGGCCGTAGTTAATCCAACAACTCCGGCTCCTAAAACAATAATTTTAACCATTGGCGTTATCTGAAGGGAACAAAACCTGTGGAGGTGGTGGAGCGTGGGGGGGAGATGGAAGGGAAGTTTTTTATTCGTGGGGTTAAGCGGAATTTTATTATGTGTGTGATTTTCTTTTTTCCAGTTTTTCTCCCGCACTTTACGTAATGGTGTGAGATATCCGTGGGAAAGAGGGAGAGAGCTGGAAAGACTACACCTCTTGAAGGAAAAGGCACATAAGTGACGTTATACAAATATAAAACCCTCTACTTATTTATTTACTAGTTGGTGGGGGAGGTACAGTCGCTGTTGAAGTTTTAGGCTTTGAACTATCATCCAATTTCTTTGACTTTTCCAACTCCTCATTCATATAATCACTCAAGGAGTCTTCAACATTAAGCGCAGAGACATGTTTCTTTTTTCGACCAGACGTTTTTGACGTATGTGGTGATACAGATGATGGTGGCAAGACTGATCCCATTGGTGGGGGCGCCGTGTTGATAAAGTTTGCATTGGTGTCGAAAGCTTGAGGTGTCAACGTAGAATCCGTTTGGTATGCGACATCTTGTTTACTCTCAAACAACACATCATCAACCACTGAGTTGTCGTCGAACTTACCAATGACTTCTGGAATACGATGAAGGAGACCATAGCCGACGTCACATCCAAGAATACCCCGGTTGTGGCCAGTCCCCCAATTTCGCGACAAGTTCACGGTCACGGGGCGCAAAATGTCGTAATCATGATTGTACACATAAAGGGTTATAGGGATATATTCTTCCTGTGTTTGATTGTGGTAGTAGTTGTAGTAGTTTGACACTGTATTGGACAAAAGGGATTCACCTCCTTTGGTAAGTAATCCCTTTCCAGTCTCATCAGTGACGTAAGCGGAGTCACACCCTATAATGAAATCAGATTGTGGAACCAACTGGGATCTGAAGGCAGGAGATCCCGGGTGGGTATTTAAGATCCTCCACACATGGGTGGCGGTGCTCAAATGTTGAGATTCAACTGTTAATCCAATCTGTTTGAACGTGGCAGCAAACAACTTTATAGTAGAGGCGTCATGGTTGCTCTCTTCTTCCGCCTTCTTCTTCTTCTTCTCCTCCTCCTTTTCCAGGCTAAACTCATCCAATGGGATGCTTATTTGTCGCACAACTCCGCCCTTGGCGTTCCACACATCAAGTAAAAGCTCTTGTTTTGTTTTTGCCAAGGTCAGCAATTCTTGTGATAATACTTCAAAATTAACTGCAGATGCTTGTTCGGACGAAATGTTGGAACCATAGTTTATGCTCCCATCCTCATTAACTGAGTAGGGGAAGTTGGATACTGGATACTGCATTGGCAATTCGTGTGAATTGATTTTGATAATATAGTCAAACCACGCCTCAAACCCCTTGGAATGTGCCGCTGAATGTGGTTGCACGTACAAGACTCGAAGGGCAAACCCTCTGTTGTTAATCTGCGTTGCATTCTTGTAGTACGAGTCATGTAGAGATGCCTCCTGAGTAGTGTGGCCTTCGAACCGATCGACCAACTTCTTGGCGAATGAAAACATTGTGAGTATGACAAGCTGGGTACTTTATTGCAGGTTTTTGTTGTTGTTGTTGTTCGCTGAATATTTATTTTCTAAATTCACGACTTTCACATAATAAAGCGAACAAAATTTAAACTAAATACTATGAAGGAGAACTATAAGACACAACTACTATAAAACACCACCAGCGAAAGCTAAACCCCATGTACGACTCTGTCCATTATCCAAGTACGTGTTGGACCAGTTATCGGAACTAAAGAACTCGTATGAAGACTGGGGGTCAATGATTGCTTGATTCATCCTCAAAATTCCAGTCCATCCACTATCAACATTATCGATGAATGTGGAGATTTGATCTTGCCATTCTTCTTGGACATAAGACGGTATCCTGATTGAAGAACTGGCTGCAGTGATTGGCAACATGTGTATACCGTGAACATACTCTGGATGCTGGTCGGGGGTACCGAAATATGTTGTGTAATCAACTTTATTTTCAAAAAAGATACCACTGACCTTGTTTGGGAGAATTTCTTGTGGCTGCACAGTATTGTCGGACTTGTAGTAAAAATACAAGTTGAAAGCACGGCTCATGATTGACAACATCAAACCACCCCTTGCTTCCATTGCCAAATCTTCAATTACATTTCCCCACAACTTCATTCCATAAGCAAAATGAATATCCTCTGAACTTGACTCCTGGTTTTTACCATCATTACTTTCATACAATCCAGCTGCCCAACTATGACCATCATACCAAGAAAATGATCTCGATACTGGGAAGTACAGATCGCTTCTTGATGGGTTGGCAACATCTCTAACTAGCGAATTCACCCAGTCCTTGTTATCTTGAGCCCAAGTACCACCTAACTTTTTGTCAATGAATCCCACGACTGCTGCTGCGTGGACAAAGTATCCATAGTGGAAATGATGATCATTGTAGTAAGCACTTCCAAAATCAGCGCCATCGTCCCCATTTTGAGCTGCGGTGGAGGTTACTCCTCCAAATTTGGTGTCATACATCAATGGATAGTATTGCTGATTGTTGAGGAAAGTTTCAAATGCATCTTTCATTTCTGCCAACGTTGCATTTGTCACAGCCTCGTCATTGATGATTTCACTGACAACTAATAAAATCTGAGCATACTTGTCAATCACTTTTCCGGAGAAGTAATTTGAGTTCATGTTGGCAACTGTACTGGCGATGTCAACGGCAAGCTCATCATTTGCCGAGCTGGCAAGTAGAGTCAATTGCTCGCTGGTGTAAGTCAAAGCTTCCGTTCTTCCCTCGAGGTATGGCAAGAATTGGATGTTTTTATCAATAGTTTCAGAAAATGACAACTGCTTTGTAAGAAAACCTGTCATTTCTCCCTTTGTTTGGGAAGAAACAGTTATACCAGTGGCACCAGATGTTGAGGTTAAAGTTTGAAGGTGGTGTGGTAGAGCAAATATGATTGGGTTTCCACTTGATGAAGTACCTGCTGTTTGGTACACAAACAGGTATGATGCTGAAGAAGAGCAACCAACAGTACCTTGAATGGTGGCATCTGTGACGTACATACCTGCTGCAGCGTCGTAAAACAGGTCCTTTGAAGTCTCTGGTGAAATAGCCACTTGAATGATCAAACCATCAACAGACTTTGATGCCCTCAAATGATACGAATCTTCGGCTGTGAACTCGAAATCAGCATCCTCTGCTGGTAAGGTTATATAGATCAACCATTCAACCCCATTGAATAGGGTTGCTCTATACTTTAAAACAGTGGATGGCAAAGCATCCGATTGTTCCAATTCCAAAGTTCTAACACCATACAATGAATTTATTTCTGGAACCAAGTCACCGTTATAGACCCCTGTTACAAATCCCATACCTTGTACAATTGGGATCTCGAGATAGTTTATGTCATCACCAGCTGTAGTTGATAATCTAGCTGTGGCTGCCATTTCTGTCATGTCAGTGAGGGCCAAGTATACTGAATTTTGTCCAAACTCGGTAGCAGAGAAGATCAATTCTCCATTATTGGTTGGATTGAAATAGTATGAAGATACTCCTGGGTTATTTGTATTTTGTGAGCCAAAGACTCGATTGGATACGTTTGTGTGTTGGACACCGAAGCCATAGTAGTTTGTTTTGCTCCAATATATTCCATAGGGATAAGTGTAAACCATTAAATCCTGGTCACCCAAGAAGAGATTTGCATAGAATTTGTTTGTCTGTATGGGAACACCATTATTATTAACACCAGCTGGGATCGATAATGGCAATTGCTGTCTGGGGAAAACGGAAGGTGGTGCGCTAGTGTCTATTGGTGAAAACAAATCTCCTGAATAACAATTTTCAGTGGCTACCGCAATTTCAGGTTCTGATGATGTGCTTGATGAAGTCAAAGACTCGGAAGATGAGAATTCCGACAGACTCTCTGAGCTTGATGTTTCACTTTCGGAAGATTCGGTGGAAACAGCACTAGTCAAATACGAGGTCAGCACCACGGATGAGTTAAAGTATGGTCCAGCAGCAGCAGAGGAAGTTATCAAAATGGTTGACAATGTGGTTTCAAGTGGCTGAATAGAAATAGATGAGGCGAGTTCGCTTGATGTGGCCGATCCTGAGAACAGAGTGGTGGAGTTAGCAGCAGCAACTGTTGAAGTTTCAGTAGCATTGTTGGTAATTGTAACATCGTCTGAGATTGAAGAAAGATCGATAGTGACTGATTTGCTCTCTGACACAACTGATTGAGACGTTACGGGAGCTGATCTAGTTGTAGGCAAGGACTCCAATGAGGTTGATGGGCTATATGTGCTTTCCGGGGACTCTGTGGCACTGAATACAGTTGATGTCGTGGTGGTTTCAGCAACCTTGACTGAAGTGGTAGGGACAGACGCAAGATTCGAGTTACTGGAGTCTTGTCCTGCGACACTGTCGGTGTTGGATACAGCTTGGCCGCTGATGGTGTAAACGCTCGGAATTACAGTTGTGTATGTGAAGACTTGGCACTTTCCAGATGAACAAGTGGAAGTTTCGTGAGTGGTTGTTGAATAAGAAGTAACTAAGCTAGATTGAGCAGCACTGTTTGTTCCTGTTTCAATATCAGCACCTCCAGCTTTTGATTTTGATGCCACTGACTTGTACACGGTGTGGGTATTTGTGCGAGTGATTGTGGAAGTGAAATCAATCTTGTTTTTCTTACTATCATCTTTAGGAGCGTGTACGAAAACAACCGGAATACCAGTGGTCAAAGCCTCGGGGTTCTTTGGTAATAGGCTGCTGGCAAGGTTGCTAATACAAGGATTGGTCACAAAGTGAGTCCTAGTAACCGTCAACACTTCCTCCTCGTTGGTGTCTGCAACTGCTGTAGCTACCATAAGCGGCACCAAAGCCGTCAACAAGTTCTTCAAATTCATAGTTGTGTGAAGGATTGAATAAGTGCAATAACTTTATTAAAGGAAGACTATGAGTGAGTAGAATTGCAAGTACGTTTGATGAATTGTTTTGAACCAAATGGCCATAGTGGCCAAAAAGAAAGTGGAAACATTCCACTTGGTTTATATAGTTCGAGTTTCAAGCGCCATGAACCATAGTGGGCAATGGGATCGTGCTTGCCAATACAAACATATTACTACAGAACCTAATACTTGTTATTACACAAAGTTCTTATTGCAAGCGCGCGTTTACTAAAAATACGAGCTTCAACGTAAACATACTCTAAAAAAATTTTCTTGCGATCTGGCATAAACTTTGTGTCTGTATGTTTGTAATTATAATTCAGGTAAACCGTGATTCAGCAGCGTGGAGGCTTTCGCATATTTTTGATTTGTTTATATTTTTTTGAGTTTATAAATTTTTTTAGTTTGCTGGTTATGAATTGTAGGTGGCCAAAAACACCACCTAAACTTCTGGTGACAACACGTGGACGACGACAATTTGTGGAAAAAGTTTATAGAGTCGATAAAGAGGCTAGTTGAGTGACTCGACTCATGGCTGAGCTACTCTTACGATGTCAAGTTTGAAGACAATTGATCCAATTTCCGTATCCAATATTACCAATAACCGATGCTAAATTTCACAAAATACCAAGACGTAAACAATCCCAGAAAAATAGTAAAAAAAAAAAATAAAAAAAAATAAAAAAAAAATAAAAAAAGACCGTTGGTGGTGGATGCACAAAATCCAATCTGGCTGGTGATTATAATATTTCATGCAAAAAGAATTAAAAAATTCAAAACAACCAGCAACAGACAGCAAACGACATTACATGTATTTGCAAGGAAAGACAGAGAGGGATGTCAACGGAACAGATGTCTTCTTTTAAGTGTGTTCGCTCAGTCTCCGTATACTTCCGTTGATGGCGCTCCAATCTTTGAAAGTAGTGGAATTTGCAATCTCAAACTCACTTCAGTGATGCGAAGGCGTTCTCGCTTCGATACGAGTTGCATAATACAGAAGTAAAGGTGCTGTTGTAGGGTAAATCTGTTGAGTTTGGTTGAGTGACTAGCCCACGTGTGTATCCAATTTTGTTGGGTTGTAAACTAGTCCATCCCCCTTGAGAGTTAGTTGCTGACAACTGGGTAAGAACATTGCAAGGATTGCCATGGCAACAGGGAAATTGAAAAACTAAGAGTGTATATTCAACGGTGACGGTACAACATCAAAAAGAGATAGCGGTTGTTATCTATCTCCATTACCCTTGATACGAATAAAAAAGAGTGCATGAAAAATATAATGCATGAACAACCACCTCCTTCGTGGAATCTAGAATTGTTCTTACTTTCGGGGACTTTGAGCAAGAAGAGATCATGATAGTCGTAGATATAGAGAGGCGTACAAAGTGCAAGCCGTAGGAATATGGACACTGCTCTTTCAGTTTATAAGCTAAAGTACAATTTACTAGGACAAATAAGGTTTTTGTCAAATCTTGCAGTCTGTCTTGATTTCCAGGATATGCTCACGGTGCTGTTAGATACAGATACACCTCCAAAACATTGCAATTGTCTTCATTAAAGGGAGCCGATTAAAATCTTATCTGTAGGCTTTTTAACCCACGTTTTGATTCGAGTCCTTTAACCTTGACTTGGGTTCAGGATATTTATGTCGTTGATTTGGGCCCTGATTTTGTGTCAATTATTATGCCGATCCAAAGTGATACATCGTCTGAATTCATGCGTTCACCAAATGAACACTCGGGAGAGATGTAATCACCTATGATACAAAACGCATGATCCCATCCCAGTGCATGATCCATTCTTTTCCCGAGAGGTTAAATTGAAATCAGGCGTGTTAAACACGTCCACATAAAAACTTGAAAGCCTTCCCCCACAAGTAATCAGTCTTATACAACTTGATTGCTTACAAAGATCCAAATAAGGAGTAGTGATTGCCTCAATAGCAATTAGTAAGCACTATGATACAAGTTTGCACTGTGTATTTGTAGCCGTGTAACAAATGAGCATAATTTCTCAACATTTTGCAACTATTTCTTGCTGAATTTTTACACAACTTCAATAGGCACAAAAAAATCCCAGAAATCACATAACTAAAGTTCCGCAACGTATAACAGTATGAAACAGCATAATTGCAAAATTGAAATTAGGGACGACAAGAGCTAACTAATATTATCGATAATAATAAATCAAAAAAGGAAAAAAAAATAAAAAAATTCTGCCCACTGTCGGGATTGAACCGACGATCGCTCCATTTCCTTATAATAATACGAGTGGAGCGCCTTACCACTTGGCCAAGCGGGCTAAATTTCACTCAAAAATTGCTTACTTAGAAGCCTCGTCAGTAAATCCAAACACGTGAATGAGCCACAGTAAATGGATCAGTGGCCATTTCAAAACATTTTGCAGAGGTATAGCAAAATGGCGGAACCTTCTATGGTTAAAATTGGAATTGCACCAACTCTGTCTTCTTCCTTTCCAACAGATTGAGTTTATCTCGAGGTTCAGATACTTGAATTGCAGCTGAATAGATACGGAGTTACGCCATTTTTAATTAAAACTAGTAATGAGATGAAAACAAAACAAAAACAAACAAACAAACAATAAGATTTCACGGAATTAATTTAGTGTTGTTAATTTAAGGCACAACAAAAGAATTACTCACACGTCTCAAAATTTTTCAAAAGCATACATGAACGAAACCACTTGTACTACGTTCAAATTGACTATATTGACTTGGTGAAGTGTTCATATTTATACATCTCCTTTTTTTCACAAACACTCACGACTAAGGAAATACCCTCAATCTACTTTACATTTTATCCACAATCAATCCAAGGTCATGTCGAAAGGATTCTGGGAACAAATGAGAGGGTTCCCCACATGGCAATTGTCATTGATTTGCCTAATTAGACTAGGGGAGCCCATGGTGTTTACGTCAATTTTTGCTTACATATTTTTCATGATTCAAGATTTCAACATTACTGATAACCCCGCCGAAATTGCCACTTACGCAGGGTACTTGTCGTCTTCGTTTGCAATTTGTCAGTTCTTGTTCTCCGTGCAGTACGCACAAGCTTCTGTGAAATTCGGCAGAAAGCCTGTTTTGTTATTTGGTGTTGTGGGGACAGCGATTTCAAGTTTATTGTTTGGATTTTCAAAGAGCTTCACAATGGCCATGATAGCTAGGTGTTTGATGGGTGCATTGAACGGGAACATAGCAGTGATGAGAGTGGCGATTGGCGAGATTGCTGTAGAAAAGAAGCATCAGAATATGGCGTTTACAGGATTATCTGTGATGTGGGGTATTGGACTGATAATTGGACCTGTAATTGGAAGTAGTCCTTTGCTTACAAAGCCTGGGGGAGTTAAAGATCAGCTCATTGAGACACTGAGCTACGATGAATTCATTACGAAGCACCCTTATGCAATGTCCAATATTGTGTTGGCAGGATACCTTTTTTTCAGTTTCATATTGGGATTCTTATTTCTTGAAGAGACAGCGGAAAAGTTCAAAAATAGAAAGGATTACGGGTTGATAATTGGTGATTGGATATTGAGGAAACTAGGATTCAAAGTTCCAGCAAGACCTAAGGGGCTTGTTTCCGACATTGAACAAGTTGATGAAAGAGAAGAGTTGTTGCGTCCTGCTGAAATTTATGCAGCTGTTGATGGCGATGGAGGAGAAAATGATGAAGAAATTGACAGTCCATTGGTATCGCGGAGATTTGGGGATGCTGCTAGGCGTAGATACTCGTCCGAACAACTCGGACCTGTGGTGTCTGATGATGGACATTCAGTATCTACAAATGCCGGTCAATCATTCTCAAAAGAGGTTTTCACTGTACCCGTTGTGCAAACAGTGTTGTCCAATTTTTTACTTTGTTTCCACACGGTGTTGTATTCCGAGTTCTTGCCTGTATTACTAGCCAGCCAGGTTCTGGTTGACAAATTGAGTTTCCCATTTCGAATAGTTGGTGGGTTTGGGTGGCACACAAATGACATTGGTTCATTATTGTCGTCAACTGGAATTATCGGTAGCATTGCTGTGATTTTCTTATTTCCGGTATTGGATCACCACTTCAAATCGATAACTGTTTTGCGAATGTCATACGCATTGGTACCAATAGCGTACGCTATAATTCCATATTATTTATTCACAACGCATGATTACAATCCGGCAAACCTGGAATGGTTAGCAACAAGTTTGTTGTATGTCACAGGAATGGTAATCAGTGCTGCTGTCTCTGTGAGTTTTCCAACAACTATGATCTTGGTCCATCGCGCTTCACCTGAAAAGCATAGGGCTTTGATAAATGGATCAAGTTTGAGTTTGAATTCATTGGCAAGAGGAATAAGTCCAATCTTATTTGGACATTTTATGACCTGGTGCAATGAACGTGAAATTGGTAGTGTTCCGTGGTTGGTGTTGGGAGCACTTGCGCTAATTTGTTTTATTCAATCATTTTACATGGATGAGTATGACGAGGAGGATTAGCAAGTATGAGCAAGTAAGTAGATCTTAAAGAAAGACTTTTGTATTTATATTTTGACCATTGCTGTTTTAACGATAAGTTTGCAACAACGAATGAAATTTAAAAGGGAGTCGCGACATTGGCGTTTTCCGTTGACGGTACCGCAGTTCTACACAAGTCTCAGCAATGACTATCCTCACCACGTTGGGAATGTTCATAATCGATGAAAATCAGTACATAGACCCACCGGCACCCAAACAAACCAACATCATTGGCGGGGCCGGAACGTACGCCATGATTGGCGCTCGCATAGTATCATCTCCAGAATTAGGTTTAAAAATTAGTGGAATCATTGACGAAGGAACAGATTTCCCATCTGAAGTTCATGATGAGATAGATTCATGGCATACAGGAGTCATATTTAGACAGAATAACCACCGCTTGACTACTAGAGGTGTAAATACATACATCAAAGATATTCGACATTTCCATTATCAAACTGACAAGAGGAGGATCGAGGTTGAAGATATCTTTCAATACGAGAAATTGAAATATAGCAAGTGTTATCACTTGATTTGCTCAATTGATAGATGCCGAGACATAATAGGAAAGATCAGAGAGATAAACCCTGATGCCAAGTACATATACGAGCCGTTGCCTGATGATTGCATTTCAGTAAACTACGAAAAATTACAAATGCTTCTACCTTTGGTTGATATATTCACCCCCAACCTAGACGAAGCGAGGGCATTCTTGGCCAACTCGGATGACATGGATGTCTTTGATCTTTGTCTCGAGTTCACAAAGTTTCAAAAGATGACCAATTCAGGCACAGTCATTCGGTGTGGTGCTGACGGGTGTGGTTTACGTACCATAGACAATAGAATGATTAAGCTACCTGCGTACCATCAAAACCAAGCTGACGTGGTTGATGTGACAGGTGGAGGAAATTCGTTTTGTGGTGGGTTCATTATGGGCTGGTATTTAAGCCAGGGAGATTGGCTAGTTGGCGGCGTTTGTGGTAATATTGCTAGTGGTTGCATAATTGAAAAATTGGGTGTGCCCAAAGTAAACGAAGAGGGACAAGAATTCAACGGAAAGACTTTACAGGAAAGGCTCGACAAATACCTCGACATGACAAAAATAAATGTGGAATTGAAGTGGTTGTAATTAGAACTAAAGAAAAAAAAAAAGAAAAAATTCTTATCAATGAACGTTGGATAAGGCACCCTCATCGGAAGTCTTGACTCGTTCTTCACTTGGGGCATTACTGATAGAGTCATCAAAATCGTCTTTGCATTTTGAAGCCACGCTAGGTGGCACATTATCCTCATGATACAAGCTTCTCATAAACTCCTTTTCATCAGTCCAGTGTCTCAATTTCTTACCGTAGATATACAACGGTATGGCAAACAAACTGACAAACAACTGAATACCCCCGTATGTAACATAAGCTGATTTATAGCCTTCTTGAGCGGCATACTTGTTATTGAATAACGAAAAGCAAAACCCTAGTAAATTTTTGAGAAAGTTAAATGAAACCAATGTCTCTGATGCAAACATTTTGTACGAATCAACAGAAAACGTAATGGCCGTGGTCGAAGCCATTGATGAACCACAAGACATGGCGCCGAAGAAAATTATAGGACCGATCCACGGATCATGAACTTTTGATGACCATCCATACCCCATTAATCCGATAGTGATTAGCAACGTGGATGGGATAATCATAACCAATCTGTATTCAGGCTCATAAATTCCCCTGTTTTTCGAAACAAAGTATCTACTCAATCTGTCTGAGATCAATCCACAAGACAAGGATCCGATTATTCCGCCAACAAATGGTGATATGTAGAAGAGCCCCACAGTCTGCTTACTGTAGCCATAGGGTGGGTTGCTGAATATTTCGGAAATAGTTTCTGAAATCACAATAAGCCAAACAACGGCTAGCGAGTAGATAAGTGATCCAAATAGAACATGGGGATAGGTGTATAGCACAAAGGGCCTCAAGGCGACCATCCACCAGCTATCCTTGGTGAACCGACCTTGATATATTTTCAACTCCTTCCAGAAACTGTTCTTTTTGTGTTCAATTTGTGGTTGTACAGGTTCAGTAAGGGCCACCGGTTTCTCCACTATACCTTGCGTAGTGTAATCGACAACTGAGGAGGAAAGGCTGTGTATATCCTGTGAGCTGGGCTGGTGACGGTTGTTTTGCAAGGCGAAAGCATTGGGTCTTTGAGATGGGGGATGATAGGACTTGACATTTTGCGCCGCTTCAGTTTCTGCAATCGATCGTTTGGACGGGGTTGGTGTCCTGTCCCAAAATGTATCGGGAACAAATAAAATGATCATGATTGTGGTAAAGCCCAAAAAAATTGCTAAAATCCAAAACAACCAGTGTCGGTTCAAGTACTCAAACACCAAGGCTGACAAGAGGGGGATGATATTTTTCCCACCCAACATCAACATTGTGTAAAGACCAATTCTGTAGGCTCTTTCATGGGCAAAATAAATTTCAGCAATTGTAGAACTCGGCAAACATTCAGTCGGAGAGGCACCAATACCAGTTAGCACTCTTGCACCCATCAAGTTTCCAAAACTATTTGCTGCGCCACCCCAGATCGCACCCATCGCGAAAATAAACGTGCCAGCTATATATACCAACCTCTTTCCATATAGCACAGCAGTGGGACTAGCGAAAACAGAACCAACTCCCAAGGACAACATAAAGCCACCAACCAAGTAGGAGATTGTAGTTAATGGTTTGTCAAATTCAGTGGCTAGTGATCCAAACCCAGCGGTCAACAATGGAGACTGACCTCCACCGAGAAAACTGGCGAATCCAACAATCAATAAGCACAAATCACGCCTCCACACGGGCCAGTTTAGTGGATCATTAGGTGAATCATGCGGCTGAGGATTTAAGATGACTCCTGTTGCTGATTTCTTCATAGAGTTTACGTCATCGTCTTCGTTTGGATCGTCAATCATAACAATAGTACCAGTGACGGTCATTGCTGTCGGCTGTTTAATCCCAAGCAGCGACATGGGGGGTTTCCTAGGTGCCGTAGTCCTCATGATATATCAGAAGTCAATCTGAATACTGTGAAATGCCTTTACAGGTGATATTGATCAGGGGACTACCTCGTGAGTGTTTCACTTACCCACTTGTTGAACGTAGGAAGTAGTTGAATGTTAGTTTTGGGGTTAGTTGTGAGTTTGAAGTTTATGGCTGTGCGTGTGTGTGTGTGTGTTTCATTGCAACATTTTTTAAAGACTGGAAACAAACACAATAAAAAGGAAGACAATATTGGATTACGTAAAAAAACAGTAAATAAATAAACACCCAAGAAAAAAAAACAGAAAAAATACAAATAAAAATAGTAAAGCGTACAACATATACAAAACGTACAACTACTCTACACTGTGAACAAAACCTGACTATACACCGCCTCCTTTATTCAATGGATCAACTTTTCAGGCTTTCATTTCCATACTACCAGGTCCCTAACTCCAGTGTACGGCTTAACAAAATATTTTTCACAAACAATGACGATTCAGAGACTATAAGGACATCTCTTCTGCAGCAGGATAAGCTGGTAGAGGAGATCTTGCATCAGGGTTCAAAAGGTCAGGTGCCCGCAAGCTACATCGAGAATCTTGAGGATGGTGAAAAGCAAAAGTACCCACTACTAATCAAGGTCGATCCGGAATTGAACAAATTCAAACTTCACGTATCGATCAAGCCAACCAGGGGGTTCCGTGAACGGAATTTGTTGATAGTCAAATCTACTGGGATTGAGAAAGTATCTGCGATGCGTGAGCTAACAAGCGACTCCACTGACTCAACTGTGGATGTTTCAAAACTACTATGCCAGAATTTGCCCATCGAAGACGGTGTAGAAGAATTTCAAAAGTTGATCATCAACGACTCGTTTGACTCAACCACAATAAATGACAAAAAGGTCTCCGTGTCCTTATGGGACCATGACCCTGCTTCAGATGAGTACAGCTATTTGCTCCATTTCAGTGTATGGATAGATAAGCTCACACTCAAAGAAAGCACGGAAAGTGCAACCAACTTCTCGCAGGTGAAGTCAGCGCCCACCAGTTTTAGCTTGGGTGATTTTAGGCGAGAGTTTTCCTTCAGTATAGAGGATGGACCTGAATTTAGGAAACATTTGAACAAATTAGAAGAGACTGTACCGAAAATGCGCGGCAACTACCTATCATTGATTGAGGACTTTCGAATATTGGAGTCGAGTGTTCGGCGAGCAGCTAACTCCAAGATGAAAATCATAGATGGAGTCAACCGCTTAATAAGTTCAAACTCACATCTCATCAATGTGTTTGGATTTAAGCGCGAGTTTCAGCGGTCGTTTCTCAATTTGTTTGAACCATTTGAGACAAATATCAATTTCTTTTTTGGGCATGTTTGTGATAGTAAAACGCTTACTAAAATTATGGACACTATACCTTTGCCACAAGTGGAAACTACCAGCCAAACGGAACTCCTGCAAATAAAGAAACAATTTGAAGCCGAGTCCAAGGAGTATTACGCGTGGATGAACAAATATTTGGCAAACGAAAAGGAAAGGCCAGATTCAAAGCTCTTGTCCAAGAGGAAGAAATTTGAATTGTCGAAATTTGACTACTTGAATCAGCTTAGCAAAACTACCAACAATCAATACGCCAACAATTTAGCTGAAAGACTTTTCAAGTTTGTGAACTTGCCTTATAATGAACTACACCCCCGATTACTCAATTTCGGATTATTTTCAGACAATGCCAACTTTGATCTAATCCCAACAAATTATCAAATATACTTGTTTGCCTTGACCCGATTCAATAGCGAAAAGTATCAATTGAGACAGAAAATTGAAGCATGTCAATCCAATGAAGAGTTGACTACTTTGATACGACACAATAACTTAAACCATACCCGCTCAAAAGCTACCAATGATTCCACAAACAAAGACATTGATGAGTTTATGGTCACGAAGGAAAATTTTGACCTAATTTTTTCCGATATTCATCCACCAAGCGAGTCTCACTCTAGTGATACTGAAATGTCTGGTATTCTTTTTGCACTAAGTGGGCCAAAAAATTCTGGCTGGCATAAAGAATGGGTTGTTCTTAAGAATGGACAAGTGACGGAATATTCAGATTGGCGGAAAGGAAAGTCACCCATTAGTGAACCGGTTGAAATTGCATTGTCCAGTGTCAAAGCCGTGACTCATTCCAAGAGACAATATTGTTTTGAGATTTTGACTTCATCTGGAGCAAAGCACGTATTTCAAGCCTTTGATAATGATGACCGGAATAAATGGGTCAAGGCGCTACATAATGCCGCACAGTTGGTGGATACTGAAAGGTTGGAGAAAAGGTTTGGTGGTGGTGGTACCACCACCATCCACAAAAAGGGTAGAAAGAACTTGGGCAAAGTATTGATTGATTTCACTTCGAAACCAATCATTCCTGGAGACGGCTACGACAAAAGCGTATCTCCTGTATCTATTATCTCCAAAGACCCATTGCCAGAAAAGTCTTACTTGCATCTAGTGAGGTCCATACCTGATAGTGATAACGACAAGTGTGTTGATTGCAGACTGACAGAACTGGTGGAATGGGTATCCATAAACTCATTGATTTGCATGTGTGTCAACTGCGCTTCGTGCCATCGTAACATAGGGTCACACATTAGCAAAGTGAGGTCTTTGACTCTTGACAATTTCTCCAATGAAATGGAAATGTTGTTGAGATTTGTCAATAATCGTCTGGTGAATGCGTTCATGGAGGAGAACTTGTCGAGTCTTCGAATAAGAGCGGACTCTGACCATGAAACAAGGTTGCATTTCATTCGTGACAAGTACTACAGGAAAAAATATGCAGCAGTGTTGCCGGATGTGAACAATTTGTTGATCAAATCGATACAACAAATTCAGGTACAAGGGACTATAAAGGCAATTTTGTGTGGTGCTGATGTAAACCTGAACATTCAAATAAAGTCTACAAATCAAGAAGAGACGGTGGTGGTTTCGATATTTGAGTACAGCTTGCGAAAGTTTATTGAAGTTAACACTGATAATGTTAGGAAAAAGTATTTTGTTCTTTCAGAGCTTTTGGTGTTGAATGGTTGCACCAACTTGGGTGAGTCTAAAGCACCGAAGGCGGACTCCGGGTTGTCACAAGAGGCTTGCGATTACTGGAATTTGAAAAAAACAGTTTTGAACGGATCTTAGCGAGCTGATCAATGAGGGGAGGGGATGTGCTTTTATTTTTTTTTTTTATTATTATTTTTTTTTTTTTTTTTTTGGTCTTAAAGCTGCAAAATCACCACAAACATGCAAAAGCTTATAACTCTATTTACTTCCACATTTTTTTTTTTTTCCATTTTGTTTCTGTTTCCTACTTTTTTGATATTCTACAATTTGGTACCAGATTTCTTCTTTAATTCATCAACAACATAACACGTCAAATGGTTGGTTATATGCTGTCACGTAGCGACCACAAGCAAATCCCGTCTCCTCAATCGCCTTGCAAATATGGTGACTTGAAACTTATTGGGAGAGGAAACTTTGGAGACGTTTATCGAGCCACTTATTTGATTGGCAAAATGCCCGAGTTTGTTGCGATTAAAGTGATCAATTTGGACGATTCTGGAGATGATATTAAGCAAACAATCAAAGAGATTCAGTTTTTGAACAAGTTGAGACATCAACATGTTGTAAAGTACTTTGAAAGCTTTATACATGCAACCAATGTGTTTATCGTCATGGAGTATTGTGGTGGAGGTTCGTGTTCCGACTTGATCAAGTTTCAGAAGAAGATCCCCGAGAATATTGTGGGGTATATTATCAAGAAGGTGTTGACCGGATTGGCGTACTTGCATGCAGAGCACAAGGTTCATCGTGATATCAAGTCTGCCAATATCTTGCTTACTGAGGATGCGCAGGTTAAAATTGGGGATTTCGGAGTTAGTACTGAAATCACGCTCTCAAAGAAGAAGAGAAACACTTTTGTGGGTACACCATTTTGGATGGCACCAGAAGTGATCATGAGAGGGGGTGGTTCAAGAAGAAACGGAGGAGGAGGGGCAAATGATGGTGGATATGACTACAAAGCCGATATATGGTCCACGGGTATTACGGTTATTGAGCTAGTTACCGGCGCTCCACCGTTGGCAGATCACGATCCAATGAAGGTATTGTTTGACATTCCCAAGCAGAAGCCACCACAGTTGAAAGGACACTATACTACAAACATTAAAGAATTTGTTAAACGCTGCGTTACGGCCGATCCTGAGAAGAGACCAAATTGTACCCAATTGTTGCAACACGAGTTCATTACCCAATTGCAAGGAAATGCGAGACAAGAGTTGATGCGAATAATAACCAAGAAAAACTTGCATGCCAGACAGAAGGCGTATACCAATCCAAGACACAAAATAAATTGTGATTTGATTGAAAACATTGATCATGACGATGTGACCGAGTTTCAAGCAAAGCCTGGAATAGAATGGGAGTTTACTGATACATTGCAGATGCGGATGATTAATCGAACACCCGTTTCAACGAGAGTTGAAGAGACGGAGGGGGACACTGAGGTGGAAGCAGTCGAGGATGATGACAGTGTGTACTCAGAAACTGCAACTTTGAATAATGGCAGTGCAGAAATAGTCTCTGATCAGCAGCCGCGAAATAAAAAGAAGGTATTGTTTTGCAGCATGCATCAAGTTCTGAAGAGAGGTAAAGATGAACAGACACGACTTGGCGTTGAACGACTTATTGATGTCATGCATTCCTACGAGTTGGAGTATCCTGGATTGTGTGATACCTTAGTTGAGGAAATCGAGCGTGCCATGAAAAATATGAGTGAATTCAGCTGATCGGTGTATGTATAAATGAATTCTTATAGTAATTAAGTACAGTTGCGTAGTAATTTAAATTCACCAAATGAAGATTTGTGAAGGTAATATAACCAAAGGAGGTTGTTGCATAGAGAGAGAGACGCGTGAAAAAAAAGGACACCCGCCACAGAGAGATAATTATGTACTGCATATAAACACACACACACACAGAGACAGAAAGAGAGAGACCGAGAAAGTTTGGCGTAATTACTCAAAGACACGGTTGAAGGAATACATTTTAGCAAAAAATTGTATATGTATAACTCTATCTTTTGATCTTTACTAGAATATCCTTACATATACACACAACTCCACACCTCCAGCTGCTTGATACTTTTGGAGTTGGACCAGTACAACACACACACACACACACACACACACACACACACACACTGGTAAGGCAAGGGGCATAAGAAAGTTACATTACACGACTGAATTTTCACAAGGTCAGCAAAGCACAGAAGGTTCAAATTTACTCATTTCCAAACTAAGGCACGTCCGATAAGGTATATATGACAAATCAGCCACCACCCTCCATAGTGTTGGAGCACGCTCCACCGGAAACGCCGAGAACGAAACTGGCTCAAAATAATGCATCAGGTATTCCACAAGGCTTGAACAAGTTATCGACTCCTTCATTCCCATTTGGACTAAGCTTTTCACCCACATTCAATTTCAACACGCCCAATGGAATTTCACCAACGAGGTTTTTCAGTCCATTGAAAGCTACAGAAAATATAACCAAAGCTGAACAGGGCAACACCACACCGGCCAGCAAGGACCATTACAAATTCCTCGCATCTTTAAATTCAATTTCTCACACCGCAGATGCTGGACATCAGAGTAGTGCATTGGAAATAAAAAGCAACGTGACCAAGAATAATGGAGGAAACGAAGAAAAAGAAGAAGACGAGGACGAAGATATTTGGTCGTCATTGAATGCCACCCTGCAAAACCAGTCAAATCTCACGTCCATACATGAGAGCGATAACGAAGCGGGCAAGTGTGATTTTGCAGAAGGTGACTTAAAAATGTTTCAAACCCCTGCAAAGAAATCTGCGTCAGGGAGCAAGCTAAATCAACTACCGCCGAATGTGGTCTCTGATGTTTCTGCTCAAGGAATTTACACCAGAGACACACCATTGAGTACCTATGCCAACCATGTGGTCAAGAAAAGAAAAATTGATAGTCATATAACCGACACGCCCAACAATAGAATTGCAACTAGGATAGACTCAACGATGGAATCGCCGCTATCTGTCAGGAGGTTAAGCAATGCAAACTCTACAACCTCTTCGGCAGCGAGTGATGTTTGGAGTTTAGAGTTGGATGAGATTTTGATCAAATCGTTTCACAAGTACCACAAGTTCAAGCTGAGTGATGTATCCAACGAGCTGACAATTCTTAAAAAGACATCTCAAAATAAAGTTATTTCAAGGATGATTTTCAATAGAACAGGCATCCTACGGACTTCGAAACAGATATCGTCACGTATTTTCAGATTAACCAAGGCGGGAAGATTGACAAAGGAGACAAAAACCCCACAAACTGTTGCTTCAACCAGTGAACTCGAGGATTTCATGCGCACTCCGTTGGAGGAGTTGGTTAATGGACAACAACTACCTGATTCAGCTCATTCAGATGCTTTGATTGACAATGAATTGAACATGTTGTTAACTTCGTCTCCTTTGGAGGACGTTTTTGAGGCGGTAAGCTTTTACGGCTTGGTGCCAAGGGACTTTATGATGCGTTTCCGAAGTAACCATCAAACATTGACTTTTACACAACTCAGGAAACAGACCACTCGCGATAACAAGATACTGGAAAAATTGGATCCATTGACTCTTCGTGCACTAAAGTCGCAAAATGCGTCCATATTGATGTACCTGCATGACTTGAATTTGCAAATCAGAGATATGGAAACTTCTACCCCGTTACCACGTTCTTGGACCCCCAACTCAACAAATACAACAAACTTGCATGGTTCTTGTTTTGAATCGACAATGTCAATCGAAGTCCTTTGTAAAGGAAGTGCTACACCACCTATGCTCACTTGGCACAGCTCCCTTGAGGTGTTTAAAGGAGACAAGAAGCTACTCAGGGTGACTGATATGATCAATGGATACCGCAATGAGGATGAAAAGTCATATACCTTACACATCCCTTTTGTAAAAAGTTTCTTTACGGGATACATCAACTATTTAATCAATGGATCAACGATTAGCTCCGAGGAGGATATCAAGGTCGTACAATTCATTTACAATAATGTCGATGAATCGAACTCCAAATTGGACTTGCAGAAATCCAATGTACATGCTTACATTATTCACAACTTTCACGTCAATGGTACAAGAGGGGAAACTCTGGTCAAGATCGTGGAAACAAAGTCCATTCGCCAGGGTACTGAATCAGACGATAACGAAACAGTAGTTGCTGACTCGTCTCCACTTGGTAGACATTCAAGTACTCCGCAATCAACACTGAAAATGAGAGAGAGAGAATCTCCCGCCAAATTGAAGATTGACATTAACAAGGCAAATCAGAACCACAATCTTTTATCGGGACCTATGACTGCGCCAGTCTACAATTCCAAAGTTAATAACCAATTCAATGGTCAAGGATTAGGGGACCTGCAAGGACTGAAGAGACTAAATTTAGTGAACGGCGTGCCTCCATCCGCACCGCCACCACAATCATTACAACAGCAACCCGTTGATTCGTTTGCATTCTATCGGGTCACGTCGCAAAATTCTCTCAGTTCGAGTCAGCGTATTCACTTTGATGCTGGTGCTAACAACACCAATATGAATCCTATGCAACCGCGTGGCTATGAATCGAATGGTGTACGAGTCGGAGTGTCAAGTTTGGGAACGCAACAGCCAACTACACTTGGCAATCCATACAACCCACAGACACAGAATGTGCTCCAGCAATTTCCATCCCGGACGTTGTACTCCCAGCAACAGTTTCCACAAATGTCGTTTCACCTCCAGCAGCACGGCGGGGTAAAGAACCACGCACCTCTGGCGCATAGCAGCACACCAGGAATATCATTTGCAGCTAACTACCAGAATGTACCGGTTCAGCAGCATCAATCTCATCAACCTGGTCAGCATGTCAGCAATCAGCCATTGCCGAACACCACCAACATTGCAAATATTCAGCCCAAACAGAACCTGCGTTTTCAGACAGTGCATACACACAGTAACCAGCAAAACAAGGCCAAGGAAATCACGTTTGGACCCATTTTAGGTTATGACCCATCAAAGGATGCTAAAATCACACGAGCACAAACTAAACCTTCCAATCAAGGGAGAGGAATTCACAACTTCCCGCTAAATGAACCTGTAATGTATAAACCAAAGAAATAGAAAAAAGATAGTGAATAGAGAGACATAATTGAGTGACATAATCTTGTTTGTATAGACGATGATTGTAAAAAAAAAGAATAAAAAAAAAACAAAAAAAAGCGGGCTTAACTCCATAGCTGATAACTACACAAAAAAACAAAAGTCAACTTTTGTTTTTCTCAAGTATGGTGCTATTTTTTTTTTTTATACCATCAAAGGCATTCACCCCCTAACACACTAGTGCCCAACTTAGAATCTCCCCTGATCGAGCATCCAAAGGGAAGTGTACAACAACGCCAAGAACACACAATTGCCTCTAATAAAATGAGCTCGAATGGAATGTCATCAAGTGCGAAGGAGCTGCAGCAAAAACAGCAGCAGTCAGCAACACTGCAAAGCAACTCCACCAAGGTGAGGCAAAACCCTACTCATCAAATCTTGAGACAGTTTAAATTAATTTCGGTAAACTTCAAAGAAGCTGCATTGGACAGTCCTAGCTTCCGGGCATCTGTAAATCATTTGGATGTTCAATTGATGAACATAGAGCAGTGGTTTTCGGCTCTTTCCTCGTCCATGAAAAAGATGCCGAAATACATCAAGGAAGTGGAGACATTCTGTGATTCTTTCTTGGAATACCTATTCCCGAGCTTTTTGCAAGAAGGATTTGTTGACCAGGAGTACAGTTCTCAGGCCTTGCGAGCAACTCTAGCTGGAATGAAACAGATATGGAGCAGAAGCTTGTTTGCCTTAAATATCAGTCCATCGATTTCAAACGATTTAACTCAATTTAGAACAGCAAATTTGATAAAGTACAAGGAATTGCGTCGAAAGTTTGAAATGAGCCAGAGAAAGTACGACAGGTACTTGAATGTTTTTGTTAGTTCATCAAAGTCTAAAGACGCAGTACTGGTTATAGAAGATGCCAAACAGTTGTACCAGGTGCGCAAGGAGTATCTACACATATCGCTTGATCTCATTTGTGAAATGCAAGATTTGAGGACGCTGTTAGATAAACTAATTGTTTCGCTAATATCGACTCTTTGGGAGAAAAAGTATTCCGTATTTGCAACGAATGGACCTGGAGACTTGCTAGCTAAGCATTATTCACAGATACAGAGAGTACAGGGATGGAGTAAATCAATTATGACTGCATCAAACGATCTCAAGAATGATATGTTGCTCGCGCGCAAGCAAGTTGAGGATGGGTCGAGCCTCCAATTCCAGCCCTCTTTAAATGCAAATGACTACAAAGTATCCACCATAAGCTACAAATCTTTGCAAGATATAAATGAATTTGCGATTGAAAAGCATGGTTACTTATTTATGAAAACGTGGACCGATAGAAGTGTCAAGCCAATTTGGGTGAGACGGTGGTGCTTCATCAAAAACGGAGTTTTTGGAATGTTTTTGTTGAGTGCTTCGCAAACTTCAGTGCAAGAAAGTGACAAAATCGGATTGTTTCTTTGTAATATACGTTATGCACCAAACGAGGACCGAAGATTTTGTTTTGATGTGAAAACTAGTGAAATTACAATTACATTGCAGGCAGAGTCTCTTGTTGAACTAAAATCATGGTTAAAAGTGTTTGATAACGAGAAAGACCGCATTTCAGCGTTGCCTCCAGATGATGATCTATTTAGGGTTGCATCAACCAGATTTCCGCCAATATTCGCAGAGTTTGCGTCTACTGAAAACACATCTGTCGATTTGGAATTGTCTAGCTCAAAAGTCTTCAATTCAAGTGGCCTGGCAATTGTGTCGAGTTCGATGATCCGAAATTACGACAAGTTTGCAAAAGCGTTGGGAGTGGATTTGTATGCAGATATGCCTCGAGTTCATCCACCAATCATTACCGATAGAACTAGAGACTCTTTTGTTGCGCATTGTGCCAGCTTCAAGGCCATTGATATACCTCATGCATTGACTGCAAATGTATGGGGCTCTGTCAACTGGGGCTTATATTATCTTACAGGGGCAAATGACATTGAGAAAACTCCGTTCAAGAGGATACTAGTGGATCAGTCAATGATTGAGTATCAAGCAAAGCATAATGACTCCGCAGTTCCTTATCCTCCATTTTACCCACGCGACTTGATTACATTTGACATCCAAATGCGTGCATTGTTTGATAACGTGGTGGAAGTGGGGGAGTATTGCGTGATGTCGTTTTGTTGCATTTGGGCGCCTAATTCGAAGCAAGAGTTGAGCGGTCGATCCTTTATAACTACGCATCACATTTATTTCTATATGCAAGCTTTGGGATTTGTTGCTTTGTACAAGTCTTATATCGGTGAATGTGTATCTATCGAGGCTACGAGTCAACCGGGATATGACTCCTTAAAAGTCTATACTATTGACGGACTGATAAAGATGAAGTTGTTTATGGAAAACGCAAAGATAATCAGAAACAAATTTCAATATCTAATAGACAACATTGTTAGTGAGAATCCAAAGAATCTTGAGGATGTGTTGGTGCTGTTTAAGGAGATTGAAGCTGATATCAACCAAGAAACGCACGATAGGGACGTGGTCCGAGAGATTAATAACTTGACAAAGACATTGTCAAACAAGGCTGTGATTAACAACAGGTTCTTTGTGGGTGGGGATACAGCCTCAATTTTGCCCAACAAGAGTGGGAAGGTAACTTCATATCAAGTTGACTTCACATCCCAGTTTAGTTTGGTGAGTGAAAAGAGCTATTCTTTGCCACCAAAGGCGATCTTCCATGCCTTGCTAGGTGACGACTCAGAAATTTTCAACAGGCAAACTGCAACCCTCAAGTTTGGGTTTGAGGTGAAGAAACCATGGAGACTAGACACTCAAAATGGTAATGTTTTGTATCGCCAGGGTGTAAGGCCGGTATTGCTAAATGGTAAAGCAAAACAATTGAAGTATCAGCAAATTATTGAGAAAATGGATGACAATTCATACTATGTTTTCACCTATAAACTTTCCCATTTTGATTTTTTGCTAGGCTCGCCATTTTCGCTTTTGGTGAAGTTTGTCTTGGTTGGAGCAGCCGGGAAACGTACCAAGGTATATTACTACTTGAAAACTATCTTTGAACGCGGCTCTTGTTGGAATCCAATAATAAACCAAATTACCAGAAGTATATGTTTCGACCAGTTTTCAAAAATTGATCAAAAATTACGGAATGCAGTCAAAGCTGTTGGAACACACGGTCAGATTGTGAAGGCAATTTATTTGTACGGCAAATTGAGCCATACTAGCGACCCGGATACAGACGATTTTTCATTACAGACTCCGGTTATACAGCTTGGAGTGGCAGATTGTGTAAGCTTGCTAACGCACAGAACGGGCACATTCATCAGAGATGTCATAATTGGGTTAATAACGATAATCATTGAATTCGCACGTCTTGTATTCAACAATCTCAAATCAAACCAAATATACCTTCTAATGATTATTGTTTTAATAGGCTCAAACGTTTTCTTGTTGGGTAAAACGAGTATCACGTACTGGACAGTGCACAGAAGTAACTCCTTAGCGGAGGACTTTGTGAGGCAAAATCCATTGATTTTGCAAAGAGCAGTTTATTCCCAGGACGTGATGGATGAGTTCAAGGCGCAAGTGGGTTCATTGAACTCCACCATTTCTAGTAGCAAACCTTTCCAAATTTTTGAATCAGAATCGTTTACTTATAATTATCAAAATTTATCAAAGTTGATCAACGATGGTGGGGTTTTAGGGAAGCCAGATGTTCAGGATATTCACAACAAGTTGCGGTCAGAGTTCAGGTCCATTGGAATAGAACGTTACGACTTGTTGGTGAAATTGAGACTTTTACAGACTAGGGAGAAGGAAATTATACAGAGAGAGTTTTCCAATTGGTTGGTAAATGAAGTGGACCGATGCGATTCTATGCAAGAATATGTCGTTGCTGGATTACAGAACGAAAAGAAAAGGAGACAGGTCCACGGTGGTACTATTCAACAGAATTCAGATTTGGTTGAAGGAGTTGACGAAGTTGTTAATTATTGCAATAATTGTAAGCAATTACTAAGCTCGTTACTATGAAAAAGGGCTGCAAAAGGCGACATGTTTGGCTAAAAACTCAAAAAAGAATGTTGAGTGCCAAGCGAAATAGGTTGATTAAGTTTTACTCCCTACACATTAAAGATACCTCAGTAGTTTGATAAGGATTTTATTATTTATGAATGCCGTTAGGAAAATATTTTAGCCTATGTATAGAGTGATTATTCAGCAATTTGTAATTGAGATTTTGTTTTTACGTTTTAGGTAATTCCGAAGAAGTCTTTTTAAAAACCACCCCACAAAAAAAATTCCTGCAACTTCGTCTAGGCTTTTAAGGACAATAAAGGAGAATTAGACGGGCACGCATAGCTTTCTGATGTTTTTGTCACTTCTAAACTGCACCAGAAAGTGCATCTACTATGCTAGGTGTAATTTTTGTCCAGCGTTTTGCGGGGATGAGACCAAATGGGACCAAATGGGAAAATTAAATTTTGCACAATTCCGCTGAATCAAATTTCACTGTCGAGAAAACTCTTTTGAATTTTGTGATTCAAGCAAATCGGAGATCACTGTGCATGCACCATTTTACGTCTACAGTGGTGTACTTATCGTGAGTGACTCCGTTTGCAGTTGTATAAATACGACCTTGATATCACATTCGTTACGTTTAACAAAGGAACAATAGTCGTTTGTACTCAACGTCAAGGAAGATGACTACTCTTAACATAATGTCAGAGGCAACAGCAAACAAGACTTACCCGTCCATTGTAGGTGGAAAGGAGGTGTACAATGAAGAAGAAGGAATACCAGTGAATGACGCATCCAATGAGCTCTTACATAAGTTCTCACATCTTTCGCTATCCACTGAATCGATCAACAACTTAGTGAAGAATGCAAAGGAAGGGTTTCAAGAATGGTCCTCCGTTCCCACCGATGAAAAGGTAAAGATTTTCAGCAGAACCAGGGAACTCTTGGAGGAGAGAAGGGATGACATAAGGGAGAGCCACTTGGAAATAGGCGGACCAGGTTGGTTTGCAAACTTTAACGTTGATGGAACCATTGACCAACTTCAAGAATATACGAACCAGTTATCACGATCCCCGGGTACAGTGGTGCAATCTCCACACAATGACTTGGCATTAACCCTCAAACAGCCAATTGGTCCTGTTTTATCTATCTCACCATGGAATGCCCCTGTCATTTTGGCAGGACGGTCCATTTTGGCTCCTCTCGCGGCTGGATGTTCAGTTATACACAAATCTAGTGAAAAATCACCACGGTCGAGTTATCTCTTGGTCAAGTGTTTTCTCGATGCGGGAGTTCCACCTAAAGCGTTACAGTTGGTTCATATCAAGCCGGAAGATAATGCCAGCTTTACTGAATTTGTCTTGAAATCTGGCGTGATTAAGAAGGTGAATTTCACTGGGTCAACATTGGTTGGAAGAAAGATTGCTGAAACCTGTGGTAAGTACTTGGTTCCGTATTTGTTGGAATTGGGCGGGAAAAATTTGTCGATTGTGTTGTCGGATGCTAACTTGGACAAGGCGGCGGGAGCTATTTTGTTTGGTGCCTGGGCTCATAGAGGACAGATTTGTATGAGTACTGATAAAGTATTTGTTGACGAGCTGATATATGATCAATTGAAGGGAAAGTTGATTGAAGTAGCTGGTGAATTAACAAAGGATAGGGATCACCAATTGAGTCAAAGAGATGTACTTGGCAGGGACAAGGTTGTGGATTTGGTGGAGGACGCATTGCAAAAAGGTGCAACGTTGGTTTATGGTAAGTTCGATAAAGATGTTATATTGAAATCGAACGTAATTGAGCCCATGATTTTGGAGGGAGCTGATTCTCTGATGTCCATTTATACACAGGAGTCATTTGGACCAGTTTTCACTTTGCACAAATTCAAGGATGTTGAGGACGTTATCGCGGAAATTAATGATCACGATTATGGTTTGAAAGGATCAGTATGGTCTACAAATATTGTCAAGGCTTTGTACATAGCAAAGAAATTGGAAATCGGGGGTGTCCATATAAATGCACCAACAGTTTCAGATGAAGCAACTGTGCCTCATGGAGGTGTTAAGTCTAGCGGTGTTGGTAGATTCAACAGTCACTGGGGTATTGACGAATTCCTGATCGTTAAAGCAATTACGATAAACGAGTAAGGAACGAGTAAGAAATGTTTGTGTGTGTGTATGTGTATGTGTATGTGTCTAAAACGTTTATGAGACTTTATATTAGAGTCCTCTTTTTGCTAACTTGTCTGCGATATCTAAATACAAGGCGATTGGATCAAACGGTGGATCTCTTGCCCACATTATTTTGTCGTAGAAACTACGTGCTCGGTTTGTCCAATTTATGAGGTCCAAATGATCGACTTGATCCAAAGTGCCAATATATGTACCCCATTTTGCACTGTCGACACTTACTAGCCCATCATTTGCAAAGTGGGACTCATTTGTAGAGCTTTGGCCTTGTGGATTTTCTTTAGCAATCTCATAGTTCATAATCTGCCACGTCAAATTGAACAAATTGTACCAACGAGGATTGAATTTTGCTCCAAAGGAGAAATATTGGACATTGGGATCGTCCGGCACACTCTTGTTAAACTTCGCCATGGATTCTGTTGTGAGTTCATATACTGATTTAGGACATATTTGCTTCAATAATGGATTCTTACCAACGAGATCAACGAGAAAATCAGCACACTCGGATCCATGATGTGGAGTGGATATCGTGGTAAGTGAGACCACTTTGTAAATATTGTCATTTCTATGAATCTTTGATATGAGATACCGGGAGTCCAAGCCTCCCATTGAATGGCTGATGAGATTCACTTTGATAGGTTTGCCTTCTTCTGCAAATGTGTCATGATTCTTGTGTCGGTTATCGGTGTAGATTGTCGACTTTGACTCGCTTTTCCGTAGAATTTTGCACTGCTTGGTTATGAATCTGTCCAAACTGCGAGCCCTGCTCTCAATGTCACCAAAGGCTGGCACTTTTGCGATAAACACTGTCGAGCCTAATTTCTGCAATGCTTCTTTAATTCCAACCCAATACTCCAATTCGAGAAGCAGTCGTTTTGCATCATCCGCCTTTTGTTTATCATCCTTGATTGCTTCCTTTGCCGAGCTCACAGCTTCTCCTATAGCAAGGTCAGGCTTGGCTAGCAATGTCAACTTATCGAACCCTGAAAATCCATGGCACAACACAATTGGGTACTTAGGGACATCATAATGATCACGTAGCCTTTGGTAGTTGGCATTTATGAACTGCTGTTGTCTCAATGGTCTCACAGTACTGTGAAAGTACCTCAATGACCCTTTCATTAGTCGTTGCGTACCCTGCATCAGTTTGCATATGCCAAAAGATTCCGTTGGTTGCTAAAATGCGAGAGAAGCGAAGACAAGCGCAAACAATTAAAGTTTTCCTATTTTACGGTTTTTTTTTTTTTTTTTTTTTTTTTTTTTTTTTTTTTTTTTTTTTTTTTTTTT